GTAGGTGAAATAATCATGTAATTTAAAAGCAGAGGAAAAATAGCAGATGTCAAATTTGTTCTAAAAATAATCTCTGGAATTTACTTCAAAGAAAACAATTACAAAAATATACTTTGTGATATAAATACAAAACAACTGGAATTTTGTTTAGCAGGTGATAATTTCTTATTCTTTATTCTAAAGAAACTTTTTTTTTTTTTTTTTTTTGAGACGGAGTTTCGCTCTTGTTACCCAGGCTGGAGTGCAATGGCGCGATCTCGGCTCACCGCAACCTCCGCCTCCTGGGTTCAGGCAATTCTCCTGCCTCAGCCTCCTGAGTCGCTGGGATTACAGGCACGTGCCACCATGCCCAGCTAATTTTTTGTATTTTTAGTAGAGACGGGGTTTCACCGTGTTGACCAGGATGGTCTCGATCTCTTGACCTCGTGATCCACCTGCCTCGGCCTCCCAAAGTGCTGGGATTACAGGCTTGAGCCACCGCGCCCGGCCCTAAAGAAACTTTTTTAAAAAATTTCAACTCAACGGTCCCATTCCTAGCTACTTGCTGTGCAGAATAGAAATTAAATACTAGTTTCTTACTTACAATGGGAAATCAACTCTAGTTGGTTCTATTCATACCAAGTTAAAAACAGGTAAGGAGAATGGTGCTATCACAATACGTAATGTTTATTTATTCTAATAACAGATATTCTTTAAACTTTCACATTGTTATAGAATATTTGTAAAACAATTAAGCCTGAAAAGTTTAAGACCACATTACACTTCTTTTGTTGCCAAGCCAATCCGTCTCCTGAAGTTTGAGAGAATTACTGGCTTTACAAATTAGAAAAGAGAGAATCACTGAATTATTGTTTCCCTAAAATTGCCCAGCTGCCTCTAATTTGAGAAAGATAAATGCAGGTTAGGAAGATCACTGGAAGCTGCCAAACAGAAGCCAAGCTGAGTGAGAGGAGAGAAACTGAACAATCCATTTACAGATCAAGCTCTTGTGAAGGGGAAGAAGTTTTTTTTCTGAGGAAGTGCCACAGAAAGTTTGTAATAAACTCTTTAAATTCATAGCTGCAGAGTATCAGCAGCAGCTGTTCCCTCTTTATACACCTGAAAACCTCACCTTTATAAGGCAGAGGTCTGTCTCTTTTCAATAGTTTTCGTATACATCAAAAGGAAACAGTAAAGATAAGGAACGACACTAAACTGGAATTAGGCTAGAAGGCAAATTTCTACAGTGTCCTGTCACTGTTCTAGGGTTCACAACTACATATGCCACTAAGAGAAATGGCCAATCATTAGAAGGCAAGTCTAATTCTGCCTGTTTTCATCCCACATTCTGCATATAAAATAAACAACAAAAAAAAATGTTCTTACAAAACAATGTAAACAAGCAAATGTTATTCATTTAACAGACATTACACAATTCCTGTGTTGCATATGTTTTCACAAACACATTCTCTAATTCTTAACAATTGTGCTGCTGAAGTATTGCCCACCTCACTTAACAGACATAGACACAGAAACTATCAGCCTGTCTACATGGGTTCCTGAAGTTATAGATAATATGTTACTTGACATTGCAGCCCCAAGGCGTAACAACCAGCCCGTATTAAACTCAATAAGTAAATAAGTTTTGGAATAAATGAGTAAATGAATGAATAAGGTACAACTAGGCTGATCTTGAAATATGCATAAAATTGGAATAAGCAGAAGCAGGGAAGTGAAGGTAGAAAAAAATACCACGGTGGGGGCTGCAGGGAGGGGAACCCAGCATGCGGAAATGCATATTACCAAAGAGAGATAGGCTTATAAGCACAGATGATAACAGTCATTTGAAAAGCTATTAGGAAAAAATAATCCAATCTCCTTCTTTCATAACTTGTGCTTGTACCTAATTCAACTCACAAATCTAATACTGACATGAAAAACCCAATGCCAGTAAATTACTTTGTCAGTCAGAAAAATATAGACATCTGACTGGTGCAAAAACTTTTATATTCTGTTCAAGATCTATTTGTTTCTGCATCCCTCATAGTCATCTTCACACTAAGTGACTTGAGTCGGCAATAATTAGACATTTCTGAATTCAGTTTTGATATGTTAATTTGTTTTGAATGATGTAAAAATGTCAACTGTCTAGAATCTGACAGCAATCACTTACAGCATGCGTATATTGGAATTTATTCTGCATTGTATGTCAAAGTGAAGAAATTCAAATTCCGTTTATGTTTCACAAACATAACTGTTGACAAGTTGCTGTGAAAAGCAGACATTGACTCTGTCATTACTGCCAGTTACTCATATCTGAAAGGTTCATAGTTTAGTATGTATTTTCCTTTCCTGATTACATAAATGTATAATTTTTATATAAATATTTCCTTCTGAATTATCAGGAGCAAAATTTAGTATAGGTATGTTTTTAAATTTTAAATTCATTAATAATAGTTTGATCTGTCTTCTATGTGTGTTAGAGGTATATAAGAATTGTTTTTTTATTAATCTGCCATGCATTAAATTTAATTTGGTAAAAGGATTATCAGAACTCTCCTAACCAAGAGCATCTAACATACTATTTTCTTGATTCAATTCTTTTTCAGGTCTCCCTCTGAAACAGTCTCACTTTGAAATATATATTACTCTCTACAAAATACAGTGTGTGTTAGTTTTTGGAATCCAAAATGATGTTTTATGATGCTCATTATGTAATGATGTATTATTATCCCTACAGGCAGCTCTTGGATCCAGTAAAGCAATATGGTGTATCACATCTAATGGTGCCCTATTATCACATTGAGGGCACCATTAGATGTGATACACCATATTGCTTTACTGGATACACTCCTGGAATATTATTTGGAGTTGCCAGAGACTATAACTTAGAAAATTGATGAGAATAAAATAATCTTATAATAAAAAAATATGAAAATGCTGTTTTCAACTAGCTATTGGTAGCTTTCAACCTATGGAAAGTAGAAATATTAGCCTGTTCATTTAGGAAGACACACTTAACTATTTAGACTCTAAAGAATTGCTTTGTGAGTCTCAAATTCTGATTCAGTGGAAATTTACTGTGTTCCCTGGAGCAACTCCTTCCTTGGACATTAAGACCTCCAAGTCCAATGAGTCCAAGGTTGAAGGGATGGCAAACGATAATTCTTTATGTAGGTTATGTGGTATAATAGTGAAAGAGGTCACCCTCTGCTTTATCCTTTTGTCTCCAGTTCCATGCATTCTAAAAATAGGAGAGACAGCAGTATCTATTAGCCAGCTCTACCCATGATTTCCCAACCTGTGAATTCTGGCTATGAAGTAGACGCACCACATATAGCCAATTATTTTAGGCATTCATTGCATCCTGTCAGAAAGCACTCTAACCTCGTTGGGTATTGTCACCCAGATAGTGCCATAACTCACCATTTAGTAGGCTATTTCATTTGATTTTATAAAGGCATCTATAGGTAGGTAATAGAGACATGGTAAAACCAATTAATTTGGTGAGCATGAATCCATTGTCTCACTTCCTTCTCTGTAAAATGAGTTCCTTCGTTGAAGGCAATATAATTTGTGATACCATAGTGATCAGTAAGGCTTTCTGTACAAACCTGAATGATTGTATAGACAGAAATACTGTAAACATAGAAGAAAATCCATATGCCTAATAAAAATCTATATTCATGAGAAAAAAAAAATGTCTGCCCATTTCATAACAGAAAGGATCCAACATAATGAACCAGTCACCAGATGGCCAGATAGTTTTCCTGGGGAATGCCACTTTGTGGCTTTTTATTGGCCTGTGTTGTTTAGACACCCAGCAGTGGCAGTAGCCAAATCAGCCTTTGTGAAAAAAAATCTCTGTGGTTAAGCCCATGAATAAGCTCCATCTCTACTGTCATAGTCACTTTGTAAATGGACCCATGGAGTAACCACCAGAAAGGATAGCAAAAGAAGCTGACTGACATCCACAGGAGGAATTATCTTGTCCATTTGAATACTGACAGCTTCTTCTGCAGTGAATGCCACCTGGAGCACACTTACATAGGTCATGCCTATCCACATGCAACTCCCCCAGGACTCCTTATCACCAAGTTTCTAGCATTATTCTTCCCAGGTCTCTTTTCTGTTCAACAACCTTTTAGCTGCTTCCCATGGATCTTTTTAAATTTATACTAGCAGCCATCTCTCATCCCACAAAAAAACGTACCACCTGAAATTTTTCCTTCTGATAGATTTATCTTTATCACTGTCTCCTATGACCATCTCGTGTGGAGTTGTAACAGTGACAGCATAAGACCAAAAAGCAGATAGGAGAAACCAAGGGAATACATATCCTCACCTCTTTCTTTCAGACTTCAAATTTTCTGTCCTCTCCTCTCCGTTTTACTCCGTAAGTCTTCCATTCCAGGTGTTTCACCCTTGGGTCAACAGGGGAATTCTAAAATCCTTTATTTCCCCATCTCTGGCTATCTTCTTCTCACTGCCTGCCGCCCCAGCCCTCCCTGCTACCTCCCCAGTCCTTCCTTCTCTGAGCTATGGGATTCTCCTGAAGCGTCTTATAAAATATCTAGCCACTTACATTCCAGTGTAAACCTGCATTTGTCTGTGTTAAATTGCTGCCAGTTTATCAGTGATCACAATGGTCCCCAATCTAGTCCCACCTGTAATTTATTGTTTAAAGAGGTACCAGATTTGTCTATGAGACCTTAAAAAGGACAACATTATGGCAATTTCCTCCTGGATGTTTACTTTCTTAACAAGTGCCATGTGCTGTGCTTTGGCCAGGTAAGGAAAAATTTTAGATATCCTACAAAATGTGTTGCTAAAATGTTGTCAGATATTTAGACAGAACAAGTATTTAACTTCTAAACTTCACTAAGCTTAAGAGAACAGCCCCATTAATTGCTGATTGGAATTAGAAAAACAATCATATGACTTTATGTATATATAATTATGTTGTGTGTGATAGTGGGCAAAATATTGCTATTTGAATTATGGATTTTCACTTCTAGTTCTTTCTCCACCTGGATACTGTCTAGCCCTTCAAATCTACTCTTCCCCCTTACATATTCTTCCCTTGCTCTTTGCCTTGAAGCGTAAAAATTTTGTCAACTAATTCCTACCCCTTCTGCTTTCCTTTTGGGTTTGGCCAGTGGGAAACCCAAGCAGGAGACTGGAGGAAGGGAGAAGTATGAAACTTGAGTATTTCTCTAGTTCATGAGATTCCCCTATGCCTGGCTGGCTGTTCCCTTCACAGCTAGTCATTGATCCTCTGTTATCTTCTTTACATTCTCTCTGGGTTCTCAGACTTTCTCCCTAAGTTCATTTGAGACTAGAGAGAGATGGCCTGTCTGATACTGGTCCTGGGTTCCTGCACTATTATTCCTTTAGTTTCCCTACACACTACCCACACCTTGTAATAGGGCCCTTTGTAAATAAACTCTCCTTAGCTTAAGCTATATTGAGGGTGCCATCCATTTCTTGTTAAGACTGACTGGCAAACCATTGTTCATCACTGTAGGTCCCTAACATCTATGTGGTCAAGGTCACTCCTTTAGTTTATTGGAGAAGGGAGTTGTTATGGTTTATTTAATCAAGTTTATTCTTCTTACAGAGTTTCACCATTGCCTACAGGGAATATTGCTTGCATATGCTAATAGCTCCAGAATGAAAGTTTTATGTTTATTTACAAATAGTTTAAATTGTTTTATTGGGATTATGAGAAAGATGGAAGGTGAAAGCAGACAATAAACTGCAAAAATTCAAATGTATGTACTAAAATATAAATTATTTTATCCTACTTATAGAAGATTTCAAGAAAGAGCATTTTATGTTTCCTCTCATCCATATACTGATTAGCTTCCTATAACTACATTTTATCTAAAATAAATAACGTGAAAGTTAAGTCTAGTTTTTATTTGGATGTTAGATTTTAACTATAATATACTTGAAACTTTTTAAAATTTAATGTAAACATACATTTTAAAATGTTTTCTTTACTGCGAAATATTAATTTCAGCAACAAAATTGCATTTCAATTTAGCACTAACTTCCTAACAACAAAACACATAGATAGAAATGTTTCTCTTCATAGACCTCAAAATAACATAAAAAACAAAAAACAAAATCAACAAACAGATTAAATTCCATTTCCACACTCTGTGACCTCTGTATTACCCTATTAGCAGTGAAAAAAATACCAATCATCAAACAAATACTCCTGGATCATCTAAGGAGGAGGCCTTTGGGATTCTATAATCTTAGGTGTCGTGTCTGAGCGATATTTCTGTCTGATCTCATCTATTTCATCATCATCAAGTATAAATGAAGCCAGCACTGGAATCTGAGAAAAATAGTTCTTAGCCAGGATATGTTTGTGTTTGATCTTGTGAATAAATGAGCGTTCATATCCCTGCAAAGAAAAAAAAATCAAATTCTAATAAATATCACAGATATATTTTGCCAGGTAAAAATACTGTCATACCTCAGTGCCTTTGCTTGTCAGTTCTTTCATCCCAGACTACATTTATTTTTCTCACGTTGTACATCACCTTTCATGACTCAGCTCCTATGATACTTACACCTGGAAGTTTTCCCCAACTCTCCCTCTGACTTCTCTAAGTTTAAACCACTGCTAGTTACCAACTCAATATTCATTCTCTCTTCCATTTGTACTGGAGGCCTGATTTTGCATAAGGTGTGATGTGTCCAGCTTTCTTAGCCTTTATTCTGAGGGTGTCTAGTTAGAATATATATATAATCAATTACATTATTAATGTTATATATATTGAGGTTAGAAAAAACAAACATAACAATATAACAAGGAAAGTGAGAAACTGTTACCACCAAGAAGAACCTAAGGAGACATGATAACTAAATGTCTTCTGTGATTATTTAATTATATATAATATATATAACCTTATATAATTATTTATTCATTTATTTATTTGAATACAGCCTTTTAAAGGAACTTTTAAGAGTGGGAAGACTCACCTATCAGCACTTTTAGCTTTTTGCCATTACTGAGAGGTACATGCAATGAAGAAGATGACATAGCTGTCCTATCACTAAGACTCCACCAAGCATGAGAGTGAAAGCTGAAGATGAAATATGGCTGAGGACAAAGTAAGACAACCTGTATTTCTGAGAACAAGGTGGAGCCACCATACTAGGCCCAAACTGCCAACCTTTGAAATTCTTGTTACATAAGAAAACTAGACCCACATTTGATTAAGTCATTATAAATTGCTTATTCTGTTCTTGCAGGTGAACCCAAATGCAGCTGAGACAACAAAAAATGTTATATTCATTAAATTTCCTTGTTTCTCTGTAATTAGTACAGTATGTGGCACATTCAAAAGTAAACTCTGGTTAAATTAACAAATACAATCTATTACCTATTAATCTTAATTGGCCCTCTTTTCAATCAAATCACAAATACTACCTGTACTTCTTCCTAAAATTTATTTTCTGAGAGTAAGACATTCCTTCAATAAAGGTCTCTTCAGAAGGTCAAATCAAAGACAAAAGAAAGCCCTCACTGAAAGGACCAAAGGAACAGAAAGCATTATATAGGAGTATTCTGGGCTTATTTTAAAATTTCTTCTTAACAGAAAAATTTACTAGGTTTAAATAGTCATCTTTTGAAGTAATCTAACTTTGTTTCTGCTTCTTATCCAATATTTCATTCAAGAAAAACGAATATACTTTATTATGCTATATTAACTTACCTATATACAGGACTTTATAGGTTTCCAAAGTGTCTTTACAGAACTATAAATTATTAAAGTTGAGATAAATTATGATATATGTATTCAAGGGACTAATAGATAACTCTTAAATAATTGAATATTTTCCATATTGTTATTACTTATATTGTTAAGTAAAGCAAAAAAACTAATTCTCAGAGTCATTTAATATGAAATTCATACACAACAAAAGTATATACACTTATATACACACAGAAAACTTCCAGAAGGATTTCAATAGATTATTATATACATAAGAAATAGTAATTACCATTGCAATGTGGAGACAGGGATGGGTGAACATCAGGAGACCTTTTTTCCCCATTGAAATAGGTCTATTCTCTTGAAATAGCCATGTGGTGGTTTCAAACTATGTCCAAAAATTCTTTAGGTATACAAATAGTTATAAGAATATTACAGAAAGGACCAATATACCCCACACCAAAATTTTCCTGAATGTTTCTCAATCTGGGTTTATCCTATGTTTTCTTCATTATTAGACTGAAGGGATAGATTTTGGGGAGGAAGACCACAGAGGTGAAGCATCCTTCTCCTCACATCATATCAAGGGTACATACCATCAACGTGACACCACTGCTGCTGTTAATATTAATTACTGGCTGAAGTAGTGTTTGTCAGGTTTCTCTACTGCAAAGTTCTTCCCCTTCTGTCCATAACATACGCTTTGAAAAGAAGTTATTATGTACAGCCCACACTTAAAGGGTGGAGAGTTATTCTCCATCTCCTTAAGAGTAGAGAGTATCTACATAAATTATGTGAAATTCTACATGGGAGATTTGTCTATTTGCCTCCCTTTATTTATTCATTCATTGTTTGTAAAAAAAATTTTAAATTGATAATAATTATACATATTTATGGGGTACATAGTGATGGCATGATACATACATCATGATCAGAGTAATTAGCATATTCATCATTTCAAACATTGATTAGTGTTGGGAATATTCAATATGCTTCCTCTAGCCATTTGAAACTATTATAGTTAACTATAGACATCTAACAGTGCCATAGAACAGTACTAGAACTCACTCCTCCTATCTAGCTATAATTTTGTGTCCTTAACAAATCTCTTCCTATTCCCCCAACCTCCAAGATTTTTACTTTCTACAATACATTCTTTTAGTCTGTTCAGATTCTAAGCCAATAATATATTGCTTTTATTAAAATTAAAAATAAATAAAATGCATCAAAAATTGTTAAAGTGTTTTCATAGTTACTACATAAGTTGATTCATGCCAAAAACTATTCCGAGAGTTTTAAATAATGGTCTACTCAAAGCTTCCCTATGATGAGATACCATTAACTTTTTTTAATAGATGAGAAAACAGGATCATTGAAACATTCACAAATTTGCCCAATTTCTCCCAGCTCGTGAATGGTAAAGCTAGAACTCAGAGCCAGGGCTGCTTTTGTCCTCTTTATTGATTCCACATATTTAGCTAATCTTTCTAAAAATTTATGAAGTAAAGAGGGCAGGTTTTCATGTCCTGTAAGCTGTTAGGGACAGAGATGGGGAGTAATGGGTCAGGATTACTGAATTTAAGTCCATGATTATTCCTACTTTGGCCAATGTGCACACAAGGAGAGATCAATCTGCTTCACTTAAAGTTCACATAACGAAAGTATTTTTCCATGTTTCCTATACCTGTGTCATATTAATTTTCAAGTATTTTTTTTTTACTTCCTGAGAAAGCAAATATCTCTGAACATTAAGAAAATTCTGAAAACGTTCCATCTTTCTGCAAGATATAAACTAATCTTTAACTAGGCTGAAAATTAATAGTTAAAAAATTATATCAGCCCAAAACCATAAAAAAGGCAAATGTTCTTCCAGTGTGTCTGGTTGCAAGCCTTGGCTCTCTTTACAGAAATTCGATAAGACTGGCATTCTGGAATTAGAAATGCATCTGAATAGAACATTTAATTTGATACTGCAGCAATTTGATTAAATGCACAAAGGGAGTTGTGTGGATTAATTGAATATCAGCTTTGGGAATGAACTTCAATCTCATCATGGGTCCTAGATGAAACGATATTGCTAGTATTGGCTATGCTTCCTGTGATTAAACATTTATGAGGCAGCTTAGTTTACTAAATATCACATTTAATACAGCTTCAACTTATTGCCACCTTTTCTTTCAATCCCTAGGGTGAAATTTTTCTTAGCCTGGTTTCCTAAAACAAAATTTAAAAACTAAAAATTTACCTACTTTCTTATCTTTATACATCACCCCTTGTTCCATTGGAAAAAAAACAAACAGGGAATCACACTATTTTAAATAACTATTGTATTTTGTCATTACTTTCCTTTCCCTGACATCTTGTGTGGAATTAAAGAATATAGAGAATCAGTATTAACGCTTGGGATCCTGGGCTTAGTGTAAATGGAGCTCTCTAGGAACTCATCAGGAGCCCCTCAATTTACTCATCAAAACGTTTTTCCGATTGTATCTTTTAAGTTACTAAAGTTACAGTAAATGGCATTTAATGTTTATAGTACTTGCTCCACTCCCAGCAAGTTGGAAGCAAATGAAAAATGAAGCATCAGAACTATACCCCATCAGTATGATTGCCATTTAGACCACAAAATTATGAACAAAATTTGGGAATTGGGTGTTTTTAAGCAGACTCGTGATAATTAATCAAAGAAAGAAAGATTCTGCATTCCATAATACCTATCTGGTGGTAATGCTCATTTATTCACTCAACAAATACTAACTCCATTCTGTGACAGGCATTATTATAGGTATTAGAGATACAGGTGCAAATAAGCTGAACAAAATCGGTGTCTTCATGGAATTTACTGTGGAATGTGCTTAAACTTGCTATTAGGAGAGATTGGTATCATATTTAGGACTTGTGACATGTTCAAATCTCATACATATATATATATATCTTTTATTTAATCTGTGCCATATATAGCATCCATTTTATTTTTGCTGTTAATCCATAAATTCTGTTTCTTAATATGATGGAAGTACTTAGGCATGGAATATACTAGAAGTACTTAAGGCTGTCAAGTTATCTCTAATAATCCCAATGATTAGCTTCCCAAATAAAGTTCAGCTTTCTTACCTCTTCAATACTTGTTAGCTTGAGATGAGCAGCTGCTTCATCTTTGGTAAGAAGAATACAGTTCCAGGGGGACCACTCCAGGGATTTATCCCATCTGACCATGGCCAGATCACTGAGATTGTCCCAGGCACTGAGGACTGACTGGGATGCCCAGATGTTCTCTGTCAGGTACTGAATATCTTGTAGCTGCAGGTCAAAGCAAGTTTTTAAAAAATGTGGTTTTCTCCTAACCATAAAATTTGTTTTTTATAAGATTATTATATTATAATAGTATTATATTACTTGAGGAAATAATTAAATTATAGGGTATTTTTGAAGTGAAATATTATTCACTAGGTTTCAATGGCACATAACACCTTAGTTTTCACTAAACTTCTGTTCATTATGCCTCAACTACATTATCAGTCTCACAGTTTTGTCCCCATTTTAAACTAGAGTAAGCAGTATAAATTTCTTTCAGTATGCTAATTTTACCTTAATATAATCTTAATAGTACTATAATGTTACCTTAATAAATATATGATATTTAATGATTTTTGAAAATTCATTAGTAAGTACCATCTTAATTTCAGGGCCATTGTAGGGACCTTTTAAAATCTTTTACTGCCATTTTACAAATGAGGAAGTTTAGTTTTTTTATGGAACACTTTACAAATTTGCATGTCACCCTTGTGCAAGGGCCATGCTAATCTTCTCTGTATCATTCCAATTTTAGTATATGGGATGCTGACGCGAGCACAGGAAGTTGAGATTTAATAAAGATAAATAATTCACTTAGTGTTAATTAAAAGACTTAGTTGTTTTAATAAAAAGGTAGTCAAATAGCTGTTTAAAACTTTTTTAAAAATGTAAACTGTATTAGCTAAAACTCTTGGAATGACTTTTTTATCATAGGGTCTGCATTGTAAATTTAGAATTGCCAGAGAGGGGCAAATTCAACAAAGTGTAAGCATGTCAAAAGAATAATTTTTTCCAAAGTTTGTGTGAAAAAGTGTGAGGGCAGAAATCTTTTCTGCAAAATGAGTAGACTAAACCTAAATAATTTACCAAAGTAAAAAACAAAAAGAATCTGTCATCATCAGCTGTGACAGTATTTCATAAACTGGCAATTCAATATATTAAGCTCAACTAATGCATTCTAGCTTTTACTTAATGCTAAAAAAGATAATACTCTGTACACAGCTGCTATGAAAAAAATTTATAGAACTTTAAAATTCAATGTTTTATATATTGTACTTACATTCAAAATGCATCTTGTTTATACTTTTGTTTTTAATTTAGTTGCTCAACTGTACTAATAATTTTGAAACTGTATCATAAAGTATTTGCATGTGAATGTCAAATGTGCACATGATAAGTGTGGTTGGCAGTCTCTCAGAGTTTTCTACAAGTAGTCATTGTACTTGAAATTTTTGCAATAATAGAGCAATACTATCGCCTATTATATTAGGCAGTATCTGTATGCACTAAAGATAAACAAGGTAACTAGTACAACACTCAAATCTCTTGTCTAAGCAGAATGTTTACTTTTTATATATCTTAGCTTTCTCCTTTTCATTTTACATGATATCATCTTCACATTTAATATATGCTAATCTTTGCTGTTGTCCACAAGATTTACTGTTTTAAGAGAATGTTCACATATTCAAATTATGTCTCAAATACTATTACTGAAATAAATATTAATCAAAATTACACCCATTACAAGGGGGAAGCTACTGGACTTTTACAATGTCTAGGATTAGTAGACAAATATTAGAGTAATATGAGAGACCAAAACCCTACACAGGTACAGTATTTAAATTAAATCACATCTAATGGAGATTATCCTTATCTGAAAGGTTACAACGCTCCCCTAAAATTCTTTCATTCAATATATGTAATGGTTGATTTTACATCAACTTGACAAGGCCACAGGATACCCAGATGGTTGGTCAAACAGTGTTCTGGTGCTTATGTGAGGGTAGTTTTGGATGAGACTAACATTTAAGTCAGTAGACTGAGTAAAGCAGATTGTCTTCCATAATGTGAGTGGGTTTAACCAATCAGTTGAAAGCCTGAAAAGAACAAAAATTTGAACCTGTCCCCGAGTAAGGAAGAATGTTCCTGCCTAATGGCCTTTGAACTGAGACATTGGCTCCTCCTGGCTCTATAGCAGCCTGGTGGTCTTCAGACATGAAGTGGGCCATCAGCTGCTTAGGTTTTAGACTTACCAGCCTCCATAATTATGTGAGCAAATTCCTTGTAACAAATCTCCTTATATGTATATATATAGCATATATGTATAAAATTTCCTATTGGTTGTGTTTCTCAGGAGAACTCTGACTAATACAATATGGAATATTGAGGTAGCACTTGTAGATGACTTATAATAAAGCCATAGTAAATCTAAGATTGTTTACAAGGAAATATATATCTGTCATGTCAACAATTCCTGGAGAAAATACCAAATAAGAATTTAAGCTGAAATAAACATATTTATTAATAACATTCATTCTATTGGACAAAATATGTAATCATTTTAATTTGTGTTTTTCGAACTGTGGGTTGCTACCTCTTAGGTGATACAAAGTTTTCCAAATGGAAATTAGAATAAGTAGATTGGGATTGAATAGAAAATATCAGAGTGCATCCAAACAGGTAAAGATAAACATTATTTTGGAAACTCTTATTTCTGAGGCAGAACAGCATGCATTTATATGTATGGACACTGGGAACCAGACTGCCTAGTTTTCAATGCTGGTGCTGGTACTTAGTAACATAAATTTGGACAAGTTAGTTAACCTCTCAGTGCTTCACTTTCCTCATCTGCAGAATATAAATAATGCCTATTTTGATAGGATTTTTGTTCTGATTAACTTAATAAAGTGTGTAAAGCCATATAGGTACTAATTGAGTATTGAGAATTATCATGCATGCCTATATCAGTTTGTCATAAAAATATATTTTTACTACTGATTTAGAAGAATTTAGAATTTTTTAACAAAGCACATCACATTTGGAATCTATTTTTTTAATCTCTATAAAGTTTTCTATTCATAATAGTGCCTATTTTCCTATTTGGTATTAAATACAATTTAGTTAATTAATAACTAATTTACAGAAAATTTGACCTTATTTGACAGTCTGTGAACACAAATATTATTAATGAGATAAACAGTGCTCTATAACACACTTTTATTAATAAGTTGCTAATGTTGGCAGCATATCAACAATAAGTAAGTCCTTCTCTTTTCTCACCCCCTTACATAAGTCCAACCAGTGTCAGGAATTTGTTTTTATTTTGTAGAGACACAGACTATCCTCTGGCCTAAACAACCCAATAGAAGTCATGGAATAACCAAAAAGATATACAGGGAATACCAAAGTAGTGGTTAAGTTAGGAATTCAGGTCAGAGTTCCTGTTCTCACAGGCTCCACCCTGTCACAGAGCTAGGAGTTCTTATGAGAAGCAAATTACTGATAAAGTCAATGATCCAATGCAATGATTCATCCAAAAGAACTCTGGCCAGAAACTTTCCAGTTGTGTGGTATCATACCAACCATTTACATAGACAAGTATCCACTGAAAGCCCTTCCTTACATTTTTTTTTTTTCCTTTTACATTTTATAAGACTTAGCTTTCACTTTTGGTGTTATTTACCATTATGGTCACATTTGGTTTACACTAATTATTACTGTTATTCATAAACACTAGTATGTGTATATGCAACACCAGTTTCTGTAAAAGTCAATCATTCATTCAACAAATATTAAAGGCCTTAAATAAAACTCGTACTGTATTAGGTTATAGAGATATAATGGTGAGCAAGAGGGGGGAAAAAGCATACTCCTGCCCTCACAGAGCTTACAATCTAGTGGAATAGTCATTAAACAATCACACAATCACACACACACACACACACACACACACACATACACAAATATCATGAGATTGCAAGATAGCCTCCTTGACAAGCTTCAGCTATAATTGACACCCCTGGTTGACCATACCTGCATCAAGAAAGCAATTTTAGAATCATCTTCATAATCAGCTTCTGTATAGTAGAGCTGTTGAAGTAAACATTTGTACTTCAAAAATGATTCTCGTTTTTGAGCCTCATTCTCAAGGCTAACGCAGTTACGACACCGGTATATGCGGCGTGAGGTGGATGACACAGAAAACTCTGTAGAAGGCAAATAAAGCTGGCAACTGTGGCAAAAGTAAATCTTCTTATAAAATTTCAATGGGTCTTGAGGGACCTACAGAGTGAAAAAAAAAAAAAGTGTCTAAAAGCCAGGCCGGGTCAAATACGATCCCAACCAATAGAAGCACCAAGGGCTAATTTATCTTAGAATGAGATAAAAGAACAGTTAGCTAATCCACAAAATTATATTTTTCCATTAACTTCCTATTCTATACAAAATCTAAATTTCAAGCAGTATTTATTCATCCTGCCAAAATACTAAAAATCTGTTATTCATCAATTCTTAGATATTTGTGGTAAAATCACTTAGAAAATTAATTGACTGAAAATAGGAAGAGGTTTTTATTTTTAAGAAGAGTTTAGATTTTTTTCAGTGCTACATTGCATTCATTATTCCTATAAGGCAATAGCTAGATTCACATAGAAGTAAAAACCCGCTAAACCAATTGTTCTTCTCATTCCATTTATCTTCAAAATAAATTTAGGTTAGCTCAAATTATTAATATTCAAAGTTTGAAATTCTATGTCTAAAGCAGTAGACAGAAAGTAATTCTTCCATAAAATAATCAATCCAGTCCTTCATTATGGGCTAAAGTATCATGAATGAATGAGTGAATGGTGATCATTTCAACACAAACTGAATCAAGACATATATAAGACAGTCTTTCCTAATTTATGATACATGAGTACCTCTGGCTTCCATGAAAGTAAAGATCAAGCAGCAACAGCGTTTGCATGTGATATATAATACTTTCAAAAACATTTTTATAAAGAAGGAAATGGGCATCAATATTCTATAACATTTTTTCTCTTACTCAATGTGAATTTAAAACATTTACCATTATAGGGAAGACCCATTCAGGCACCCCTCTCTCTCTGCAGGAGAGAGAGCTATTTTCTTTTTCTCTTTCTTTTGCCTATTAAACCTTCTCTCTTAAATACACACACACACAAATATTTACCGTTATAATCCCTTCTAATATTTTACTTTGTTCTGAACATCTGTTACGTTTCTGAACCTTCCCTTCTACTGTGCCTTACTTTTACTAAATGTTCCATCTTCCCAAAGGGTAATATTCTTTGAAAGCTTCTTTGTCCCATGTCTTATAATTTTGGGAAATAAGACAATATATAAATTTAAAAGGTAGCAATTATTTCAGAGAAAAGAAGAGTGATCTAAGGATATGATCAAAGATCCAAAAGACAACTTATCTGGGTTTTCTTATTCTGAGATTTACACATTTTGTTTACCTTGAATGATTATTTTATTTTCTTGCCTCCTAGGCATTAATTTAGCAAATATATCAGTCAACCTCATGAAAACGAGTTAGCACACCTCTCTATTATAGATGGACAGACCATTCATTATAATGCCATGGAAAATATTCTCTACCGATCTGAAATTGTGCAAGTGAGATAACTCATTCTGAGTATGATGACAGAGGGCTCCATTTAAGCTACAGAACTTAACTCTAAGAATTCTCCAGAGTACACTGGGTGCTTCATCCTGGCCTACTCCCAAAAAGTGGTTGTGGGGGTAGTGGTGTTCCTTCAAATTCTTCTCCCACTATGCCTATTAAAAATGTGCAAATGAACCATTCCTTTCTAAAGCCAGTAACTTTTCTTTTAAATCCTGTAGTTTGAGATATTAAAGAGTATATCCCCCCAAAAAAGCAAGTACAGGATAATCCACAGATTTGTCCTAGATTTAAGAAAAAACTTTAAATCCTTTATCTTAATTAATGTATTTCTCATATGTTGCAGGTAGAAATGCAACATGGTGCAGTCAGTTTGGAAAAAAATGTTTAGTAGTCTCTTTTCAAAGTAAATATGCATTTACTATGTGATTCAACATGCCATTTTATAGGAATTTACCCCAAAAGAATCAATTTACCCAAAAACTCATATTTAATGCTTATAATGACTTATTCATAGAAGATCAAAACTCTAAACAATCCAATGCCATACAACTGTGAATGGAGTTTTAAAACTCTCTTGTGTATCCAGATCATTAGAATATTTTTCAGTTATGAAAACAAACCACTGACACACTCAAAAACATGAGTGAATCTCAAATGCAATATGCTAAGTGAGAGAAGTGAGTCCCAAAAGACTACATATAGTATGATGCCATTTATATGACATTCTGAAATCGACAAAACTATAAAAATAAAATACATATCAGTGTTTGCCAAGGATTAAGAAGTTAGGGGAAGGACTAACTACCAAGAGGCAGCATAAGGGAATTCTGGGGGGTGATAGGACTATTTGCTATTTTGACTGTGCTACTGGTTACATGACTCCACACATTTTTCGGAACTCACCAGAAAGAGTAAATTTTACCAAAGGTAAATTTTAAAATAAATAAAATGATAACATTATGTAAAAGTGTAGAACATAAAACTCTATCAATTGTGTTACTCCAAATATAAACTGAATAAGTCTACAGAGAAAGAAGGTGGCTTGGACAAATGAAACACTGGTTTGAATAAGAAATAACATAATGGGAACCTTTTCTCCTGGACTTTTGTTACACTTTAATATTCTTTTTGCAATACAATCAGGTTTTAAAAAATCAGTTTAAAAACATATAAAAATTAAACAATTTTTATTCTTCTAGTTTTGACTAAGTATTGAGATTTTGTTTTGTTTTTTTCAAAAAAGCTAAAGATGTTTAGTCAGCTTTTTAAGTAAATTTTAACTGAAAATAACCATCGAAATAAAACATTATAATTCTACGACAACATTCTCTATCCCAAGAGTTTTACTAACAGTGTTTTAGAAAGCTCTGCACAGTAAGAAGGCAATTAAGCATTTATCTTGGCTTTCAAGAGCAAAATTTCCACAGAAGCCTAACGACGGTGGAGTTGGAGAAGATAGATAGTTTAATTCAAATACGTTACATTTGAAGTTCTCTCAGGATATCCATACGGATCTGTTGAGTAATAATTATAACTGTGTGATAAGAGTTATAAGGAACACAAACAAGCTATAACGTAGACGCTCAGAAACAAAGAATTTAACTCTGTGTGAGGCCTCATGAAGAGAAGAGACGAGAGTTGAGTCTCAGAAAATGAACAGGAATTGGTTGGGTAAATAGGGAATAGCATTCCAGGGAAACCAACAGTATGTACAAAGCCACAGAGGCGTGAGATATCATGATGCAATATTCAGTTGGAAAGTTGGCTAAGAGATTAGAAAAGAATTCAAGGTTGGAAATATACAGACGTCAAATGAGTAAGTTTAGTTTACTAACAGACAAAATAACCACTCCAAGGAGATAGCACCAGTAAAATGGTATTTCACATGAACTCCAAGTAAAGTGTTAAAGCAAAATTTGAATATACTTCAATTTGCTATAGCACATCTTAGGATTTTGAAAAAGAAATACAGAGAAAAAGGTAGACTACCTTAAGGTATTTTGCAACTTGAGGATTAAACAGAGGTGTTTTGATATAATGAAAAAACAGTGTCGCAATTCTTTTCCTGAGTCCTTCAAGGTTATGATGTTTGACTCCTCTCATCATAAGGTCAACCTCTCTGTCAATCAATTCTAGAATTTCCTGAGTTAGTTTACATTCATGTTCCTATACAAAACACAAAAATATATAGTATAAAATTTTACAAATCACTAAGTTCATTTGCAAAATTACCAGCCAAAGAAACCAAAATCTACATTCCAAAAGAAATGAAACATTGCTAACAGTATAAAGTGGTACAATTAATTTGGAAAAAAATTGGCATTATTCAACATACTGGAGTTACAGACATGTACAATCTATGGCCCAGGAATTCTACTCTTAGGTGCTTTAAAGAAATCTGCACATAGATCTCTATTGTTCACATTAGCTGAAAATTAGAAACAGCTAATTGTCTATAAATAAATTGATTGCATTAATAAATTAAGGCTTATTCATACGATAAAATATATGGAAATAAATGAGCTATAGCTATATACAACAAAAGCTTAAATCTTACAAATTAATTTTAAGCAAATTACTCAAGGCACAAAACAATAGATATAGTACAATTTTGTTAAATGAAATTCAAGAATAAGTAACACTAACCGTATTATTTAAAAATTTATACAGAGGTGGTAAAACTATGAGGAAAAATCAAGAAAATGGCTACCATGAAAGTCAATATGGTAGTTACTTCTAGGAGATGACAAGAGGAGTTATAATTCGAAGGGAAAAGGGGACACCAGAAATATTGGCAACATCCTGTTTCATATATGTTACACTGTACATACATAATTTATTCATTTTTTCTGTATATTTATTAAAGGTCACAATATTTTTTATAAAGCAATAGAAGTGAGTGTGGTTTTGAAAAAGCCACAAGTAAGAATTCAGTCATCAATATAGAAGTATTTATAAGGTCCTCCAACTGCCCAAGGGAAAACTATGAGATACACAGTGTGAATTAAGGCGTCAGAAGATAAAGTCATTAATTTTAAAATAATGCTCTTTTGTACTTTGTACTACACAGTTGGTGAGGTTAATATGAGGGTCTGCATCAGTGGTCCTTTACCCTGGAGGCACTTTAGAAGGACCTGAGGGAGATTTTTAAAAATTTTAATATTGTCCTCACACCTGAGGAGCTAATTTAACTGCTCTGAAGTGGGACCTAGGTATTATACTCATTTATTCTCATATTTATTCATTCTCTCCCTCTCTCAGGCTTTCCAGGTGATTCTAACGTGTACTGAGGTTTAAAATTCACTGGTCTGTATTAGTAACTGTCATCAAACTAACACCTATTATTTATTGAGAGCCCCCTCTTTGTAAGGCACTGAATTTATACATATATATATATATATATGTCATATATTTTTTTTAAGTTTATAGGTTTACATATGTATATGTTTATACATGTATATAGATATATATACACACACACATATATATTCTCAAAGCAACTAATTTTACAAATGACAAAACTGATTTACATAAATATTTTAACTTATTTTAAGGTTGTGCAGCCATAGAGTCAGAATTTGAGTTGTGCTTAAAGACTTTAATCCTCCATCAAAAAATTTTCAAGTAAATTTACTTGAAAATATTTTTATATTTTCAAGTAAATTTAATATAAATATTTCATATTAAACATATTAAGACATGCATGATTTGCCTTTTATGAGCCCATCCTTTGGCCTTTTTATTACTGGTCCTAGTTATGTCAGGATTTCTATTGTATTCCCTGTGTGCATTCTCTTTTTGCCAAGCTGGTCTTTTTACTGCCCTCTATAAATATCATGTTTATTTCCTACCTCTGGACCTACTGCTTCTCCCTCCCTCCCTATCTACGCATTCTGGCAATTTGGTCATATTGATGACCAAAACAGACTGCCCATGTAGTTATCTAATCCACTGCTTATGTATAACCTTTAATTAGTTAATACATATTGTCGCTCAGAAACAACCTGTATTTCTATGCCATACTGAAGGAGGATCTGCCAAGTGTCTTATTAAGAATGCAAAAGCACAATTCAGAACCCAAAAAAATTTTATCTATATTGGCTACTTATTATATAAGATTACATTAAATATTGAGCTTACATTATGATCAGTATACATACATTATTCACATAATATAAGCTTAATATTTCCTTTAATTTGAGCTACAAAATGCAAGAGCTATACCAATGGTCCTAATAATGGTAGGGTTTTCCCCTTTAATGAGGAATATAGAAAACATAGTCATTGTAATGAATGTTCGAGTATGCTGCCCAGATTAGCCTTACTTCAGCACTAAAGCAGTCTCTCAGCTACAGGTTGTGGCAAATGACAGCTCTCCACTGAGCCTCTCTCTGAGAATTCCCTGTGCTGAAGACAGCCATCTTGCCTAAAGAGAGACAGCTACCATCAGCTGAAAAAAACTGCCTCATCCACGGTGTTTCTTCTCAGGGGCATCCTGAATCAAATGACTAATCGCTGTGGCAGTATAAAGATCCAGGATCCTGTGAGTCTGGGGTATGTGAGAACAAAAAATAAATCGAGTCCTGGCCCAGGTCCAGCTCATAATGGATCTACTGGGTTCACAGAGCCACCCAGCATTCATTTCCCTGGTCCTTGAATATACAGTTGGAATAGAATACTTGATAGTTAGAACAGCCTCCCTACCTCTGATTTCTTGACCTGTGCGGTAAGAGCTATCATGATGAGGAAGACCAAGTGGAAGCCCCTGAAACTGCCCTAGCCTGGGAACAGAGGATGTGAAAGTAAAAATGGTCCCACTTACTACTTGGGAAATTTTTGCTTCCCGCCCCTGTAACTCTGGACTCTTCAAGTTTAGAGATCTTAATTCCCAGAGGAAAAATGTCTCTAATGCACGACACAGTGCAAGGCCTATTAACTCTGAGCTGCAACTAATGCCTAGGCTCTGTAGGCCAAAAAACCTGCAGGCAAGGCAAGTGTTTCCTTGCTTATAGAGGTAACTGACTCTGATCTTCAAAAGGCAATGGTACAGATATTACCCAATAGGGACAGGGAAGAAAATGTTTGGGACCCAGATAATAGGCATTTCTTGGCATATCTTTGCCTGATTTTGATAGTAAATGGAAGTCTGGTAGCCTCAGTCTGAGAAAAGCAGAGTGACCAGTGGTTCAGACCTCTCAAGGTGCAAGTCAGTCCAAAAAGTGGGCCTCTTAGACCAGTCAAGGTGCTAGTTGAGGGAGAAGGAAATCTAAAATAGACAGAAGAAGGAAACCATGAGTATCTCTTGTAGCCTTAAAGCCAATGACTACTGTGGGGGCTGCAATGTTTCCTATCACCCTTGCTTTGGGGCCTATCTAAATCCGGAGGAGCTACTCCTAAAACCTACAACATGAAAGTGGATCCAGGCAGCAGTATGTGTATTCTCCCCATCCTGGTAGATTGTTGGCTGACAACTCTCAAATTATGCTCTTTCTGAGATTGCTCTCTAATAAAGAGAGTTATCTCATTCAAAGTCATGCCCTGCTGGAGGTAGCCCATCCAATAAATGATCAATGTGGGAGTAAAATGTCCTGGCCCCTTGGCTCAATTCAGGACAACTCTGGATGGCCTTTCCAGTTTCAGAATTCCCCATGACATTGGGTGAAGTCACTGTTGAGACTCTACCACAATTTCATTTATCTATCTGTCAACTCTGCTTTCTTTACTGCTTCACAGGAATTCTGAACATAAACCCCATCTCTGAGTTTGTTTCTTGAGAAAATTTTATCTGTGACATCCCTTAACTTTGTTTTCATTAAAAGTAGGATTAAAAACACAGAAAATCAATGTGATGAGAAAAAAAGATAAAAATACAATGGTGCTGCTTTAAAGCTGCTAAAAATAATTGTTTTCATTGAAAAATGTCAAAATATGTAGATTATAATTGCTATTTTATGTAATTATTAATCTCATACTATACTGCATATATTTGCATTCACTGCACAAAGATATGTTTACATTCATTATGCTATATTTACATATTTATTATGTATTACAACATATTTTGAGAACTTTTAGGTAAATATTAATGCATAAACCATATCCTTCCCAAATTATACCAAAACAATTCTTAATATAAAACACTTTATTTTTTTTAGTATTTCATTAATTATTTTTTATTGATAGTGAACTCTACCCCCAAACTAAGAGAAAGTTAACATACCTTTACAGTGTGTTTAAGAGTTAGGAGCACATCGAGCCTCTCATCCTGAGAGATATTTTTCAGCATAATGCACTTATAGATGTTTTGCAGCTCTCTGGCTCTGATGGTGAACTGTGTATCCATCTCAATTGTTTTGCCACTAGGTGTTCTCCATATTTTTGGAGCTGAACACTTAAAAACAATATTATGTTCATAATTATTAGTTAATTAGAGGCTACAAATAACAACTTTGTTCCTTCTACTAAAACTCTAATATCATGTGCTTTATGACTAAAATATCAATAAAGCTTAAGAAAATTAATTTAAGAATTTGCAGATCAGGCAAAAGTAAAATATTTTAGAAAAAAACAAACATGAGAGATAGTTGTTCAGTCTGTAGAAGTTCATACACTTTTACAATATTCAGGATTTGCCACTAGTTTTTACATTAAATTATTTGAGAGATGTATGGAATTACTCATTAACCACATGAGGACAATTATCTGTTTGGTTCAGTTACATTGAGTGTATATAAGTATGTCTTGATCCTGCCTTGCCAATTGAAGATAACTTTTGTAGAGCAATTATGACAATCCTCAATATATTTAGACCTAAAGATATACCAAAAAGGGATGCTGTGAGTTATGGTTTAATGTCCTATAAAAATACGTCTATAACAAGTTCAAAATTCTTCACAAAGCAGATGTCCATAGTGAAAGAGCTATATTGCTATCTTAGCAGTGCTGGGCTGTGGTTCCTGCCTGCCTGATGCTGGCTAAGATTCTAACTTCCTATATCCAAATCTGGCTTGGTGCCTCTCAACCCAGCCCACCTCTTAAACGAAGGACCAAAAATGAAGCTCACTTGTGCTGAAGCTCATCAGAGGACTCCCAGGCTAAGAATTTAGAGATTCAAGCCAGGGGGGTGATATTAGTCCTCTATTGACTCGGGAAACACCAGATAATCTTTAATGGTAGTACCTCTGTGTCTGCCACTGCTTCTGTTCCCTCTGACACAGACTTTTAGAGGAGATGCATCGCCCAAAAATTTCACAGTGAACACTTACTATTTGCTCCTCTACTTCAGGGTACAAAGGCTCGGTTTCTTTCCCTAATGATAATTGTTCATAAACAAGACTATGTTGATCATGACAACTCTTCAAATGTTGGATGAATTGTAATTGCTCTGGTGTCCCTGTAGCCCAATTGATGCCATTCTTGCAAGCACTTAAATCTTAGAAGTGATCTAATGTCAGGTTTAAATAGAAGCTCTATGTATTGGAACAGATCATCAGGAATGTGGACTAACCAAATAGAGACATTATATAAAACTGTATTCAGAATGACAGTATCACGAAGAAATTTTAATTGTAACACCAATTTATATCTACTTTTTTATATTTCACATTAGCTAAATTACATTGAGAACTGCAAACCTACCTCTTAAAAACAACTATATTTCATATATTCTCAAATCAATGGCATCATATTCTGATCAAAGCCAAATGAATGTTACTCAGGGGTAGGAATCATCATCAGAAACTTTAGATTCTCAGCTCATTTTAATCCAGTACACGCAAAGCTGTAGCCCTATGATTAATTTATATTGTTACAGCATAAATTTAATATTAAATAATGTATTATTATCAATTAAGATTGATTAAAAGCTTATAAGGAAAATAGCTCAAAAAGAAAATATTTTATCATTTAATTATTATCACTTAGAAATAAAATAATTTTTGGGCCAGGCTCGGTGGCTCACGCCTGTAATCCCAGCACTTTGGGAGGCCGAGGCAGGTGGATCACAAGGTCAAGAGATGGAGACCATCCTGATCAACATGGTGAAACCCCGTCTCTACTAAAAATATAAAAAAATTAGCTGGGCATGGTGGCTTCTGCCTGTAATCCCAGCTACTCAGGAGGCTGAGGCAGGAGAATTGCCTGAACCCAGGAGGCGGAGGTTGCAGGGAGCCAAGATCGCACCATTACACTCCAGCCTGGGTAATAAGAGCGAAACTCCATCTCAAAAAATAATAATATTAATAATAATTTTTAAATGCATATAGCCTTTTTTGGGTAGGCCTTAGAGTGTTATTGAAGTTTAATGCTTGTTTCAAAGCTCCCTTTTAAAAGTTTTTAAAGGCTAAGGCTAAGTTTCATATTGTAATATTCTCAACTCTAACCAATGTCTTAATCTTTGCATGCAATTTTCCTCAGGGTTGCTCTATTAAATGCGATTTCTTTTCTTCCAGTAATTTGGACAACATCTTTTGCTCTGCAGGGTGGTAAACTATTTTATTTGTAATAATTCAAATATAATGACCTTTTTATGAAACACCTACTTTACCTACCTCATTGTATTTTTCAGATGATAGACTGATTTAACTCTATCTTCCCCACCAAGATTTTAGCCCTAACAAATATAGCATAATGTAGTTAGATCTCAGTTTCCAAATATATTCTATATCTAAGTCCTTTCCACCTTTCAATTTTGAACTCAAACTCTACCTCTTCCATGAAGATTCCTCTATAATTTGAAATAATTATATTACTTGTATCTGAAATCCTATTGTACTTGTAAAAACACCCAAACACACACAAGTATACAGTGTCTCTATTTCAGTGACTAGAGGCAATGAAATTTGGATCCAAGTTGCTTTATAATTGTTTTATGTTTGCTAATTCCATTTCTCCCAAAAGAGTATAAGAAATAAATTTCTCGGCTGGGGGTGGTGGCTCACACCTGTAATTTCAGCACTTTGGGAGACCAAGGTGAGCTGATCACTTGAGGTTAGGAGTTCGAGACCAGCCTGGCCAACATGGTGATACACCATCTCTACTAAAAATACAAAAATTAGCTGGGTGCAGTGCTGTGCACCTGTAATCCCAGCTACTTGTGAGGCTGAGGCAGGAGAACTGCTTCAACCAGGGAGGCAGAGGTTGCAGTGAGCTGAAATTATGCCACTGCACTCCATCCTGGGCAACAGAGTGAGCCTTCACCTCAAAAGAAAAACAGAGAGAGAGAGACAGAGAGAGAGACAGAGACAGAGAGAGACAGAAAGGAAGGAAGGAAGGAGGAAGGGAGGGAGGGAGGGAGGGAGGAAGGGAGGGAGGGAGGGAAGGAAGGAATTTCTCATGTAGTTCTATAGATCTCAGTGTCTACCATACTCTTTCATTCATTCAACAAGTGCTGTGTTCACTATACATTAATCAATGTATTAGGCACTGAGTAGATAAAATATTATTCTGGTTTCAAGAACTCTCAAATCTCATGGGATGGAAGGGTAAGAAAATAAGTAATTAGAAAAAAAGGTGAGTGTGCTTCACAACTGTAGATAAATAGGAAACTATGGGTTGCTATGAAGCACTTAACTGGTAAAAAGAAATTATCTAAGACGAAACCTGAAGAATAACTAGGAGTTAGCAGATTGAAGGGAAGTGAGTGATACAATCAAAGAATCCCAGATTTGAAGTTCAAGTTCCCTAGAGCTGGCACTGAAAAGATATTTAAAAATCTGTTCAGCAAAGCTGTTTTTATACTTAGATGTATTTCTGCCAACACAGATAACTTGATCTTCAAGCCTAGGCTTTTTTTTTTTTTTTTTTTTTTCCAGGGCTTAAGGTGTTTTTTACTCTGACACAGGAAAAATGTCAACTTTGCTTATTTCTCTTCCCTATTTCCTCTTTTCTTTGAAAGCTTTGGCTGTGATAAGAGATATACAACAATCATGTACTTAAATTGCTTCAGAAAATAGGAGCATAATAAATTCCATTTAGCTGCCAACAAATGAGACAGCACAGGCCCTGAAAGGGAGAGACAGAAGAACAGCAGGAAGACACATTTCAGAGAAAGGAAGGTGGAGAAGTAACAAGAACCTTGAGTGCAGCAGGCTTCCACAAAAGAGAAGAAATGACTGTACTAGGAGAGTAGATATTTTCTTCCTCCTAAATTAATTCTCAAGTCCCTAAGGACACAAATTAAGAACAGCCCTAACTCCCCACGGAAGCCACTGTATAGCGATCACCTTTTCTTTTACACAGCACAGGGGTTTTGCTCAGCCATAGCAGCACCCTTATCTCACACAGTGCTCAGAAAGAGGCAGTGGCATTTTCCTGCCCCACTAGCTGTTAGCTACCTGGGTATGAAGAAAAAGCATTTAAAAGACACAGCTAATATAGATTGCAGTTTTCTAAGCCTGTGATTGTGAGTAGTGTACAAATCAATGGGCATCAAATAAATAAATGGCCTTGGCTCAAGGAAAAATATCTTACAGAAATTCAAACGGTCTCTTTATACAGCTTGGGTAAATAATACCCTAAGCTATATTAGAAACCAGCTGATGATTTTTCATTCAAACTTCTTGACCTGAATTTCTTCACCTCTGTCAAGCTGTGTGAGTTTTTAATATTAGATAACCTGTGGAAGTCAATGTTTGGTGGGTTAAAATTACAAACTATCTAGTACTTCAAAAAATCTTAGAGTTAGCCTTTTATTAAGAATGAGGACTTCCTGCAGAGTCTATTATAATCCATTAGTTCAATGCTTTGACTGGACAAATTTAAGACTGTATCATTCATTATTCAGAGACATTCTATGTTCAGAACAGAAAGACTGAAAACAAAATATTAGTTCAATAAATCACGCAGTATTTGGACTCAAAAAATAAAACTGAAACCAAAATATAAAAATGTATTCTCCAATATTACTTCCAAATTAAAGGAAAGTAAGTGTTTCTTAGAATGAATCTGCACATTGTGGTGTTAAATGTAGATCGTAAAATTCACGGCCAGGTGTGGTGGCTCACACCTGTAATCCCAGCACTTTGGGAGTCCGAGGCATGTGAATCACGAGGTCAGGAGTTCAAGACCAGCCTGGCCAACAGGGTGAAACCCCATCTCTACTAAAAAGACAAAAATTAGCTGGGCCATGCTGGCGTGCGCCCGTGATCCCAGTTACTTGGGGGTCTGAGGCAGGAGAATAGCTTGAACTGGGGAAGCGGAGGTTGTAGTGAGCCAAGAATGCGCCACTGTACTCTGCACACTTTTTTTTTTTGAGATGGAGTCTCAGAAAAAAAAAATTCACATATGGCACTGGTTGGTTGTTAATTTTGACATCTGAAAAAACTCTGACCTTGTCTAGTTTCAGGGATTAATTATAAGCTATTTTTTCTTAAAAATCAAAAACTTTAGAATAATAAGTTACCTCATTCAAGTTTTATGAAATCAACATTGACTCCTCCTGAATATTGGAAATAATACTAGGCTTGGGAGTCGGGGAGGTTGACAAGCATAGAGAAAAACAGACATTTTATAAGTATTCACATCAAAAGACTAAAATTTATCTTAATCGTCTTCTTAGTATGGCAACATATATTAAAAGGTGATTTAAATGATTCTGAATTAGAGTAGCAGTGAGTTTTCAATTTACTATAACAGGCTAGCAGCAGGCCAGAAGTCAATGTTAGTCAATATTTTTAAACACTGGTCTAATTATAACTAGGCCATGTGAACAGATGGGGAGTTGTCCTCAAGTGTAGCTGATCCATATTGTGGTGTGTTCTTCCTGTCCTAATATAAACCTTGGTCAAAACTGAAGGAAAATCACCTTGTATCAACTAAAATGTCCACTTCCTTTAAACTTAGCCTGGAGACTGATGAGACTAACTGGTTTATCAGCTGGGGTAACTGGGATTAGAACTCCAATTCTAAAACATATGACCCACAAAATGCCTTCCCCTTGATTTCTGCAAATTCTTGTGGCTAAGTTCATTTTCCCTTAATTCTCTGCCTTTCATCTTTGTGTGTTACCCTGTATCAGTCTCCTCTCCCTTTCCAAAAATAAAATTATGTTGCATTTAATATTTCCTTTATTTTGTCGTATAACTAAAGAAGTCACAAAAAGTCACATTGTACACCCACTGCCTTCCAACTGTCTCCTCACTTTACCTTATCTATTTCCCTCTAGGACAACTCTTGAAAACCTCTATTTTCCTGGAATAGAACAATTCTTCCTGTACTCAGGATCCTTCAGGGTCTCAGATTCCACCCCAAAGGCTTATCCAAGTATTTACAAAAAAAATAGATATTCCTTCCTCCTAGGAATTCCGGTAAACAAAATTTTAAAATTTCTCCATTTCACTTTTTTTGTGTGTGTGAGGGGGAGAGTTCCATGAGGACCTTCTTAGAGTGCCATACCTCATGAGAAAGGGTAGTAGTCATCAACTGACTCTGGAATCACTTTCTTCATATGTTGGGCCTTGATCCTTTTATGGACACTCTATAATTTCAAAAAGTTTAGTTAAATGTTTACAGACAATGCTAGACATGGGGCCTGGGGTAGGGAATGTTCTGGGCATAAAGAAGAATAGATATTGTGTAAGTATTTACAATAGAATTCTAAAGAGTTTGCAGGAAACAGAAAACAATATGATGGCATGAGTAGGGAAATTCTGCAGAAGGCTCAGCGAAACATAAAGAAAGGTGACACCCATTTTTCCTGTCCATGGACACTCAGAGGCTTCCAGCTCCTTGGAGCATTCGTGTTGCCCTGTGCCCATACTGTCACCTCTGGTGAGGTTAACAATTAGGTGTCCCAGTGATCAAGCTGGGTGCAAGATAAAGCAACTTGCTAAATGAATAAGTTTATTTCAAAAGATGACTCTGGAAAAGAATGAATATTATAGCTTGCCTACAGTAAATTCACCTTTCCTAGAATTAAGATATTTAAGAATTTAAAATGACAGTATCTACATTACATAATTTATTGATGATACTTGGAATACAAAATTATACAACCACTATTTCTGTCCCTATTCTTCCTCTCTACCTTCTTCCACAAACATTTATTGACACTGTAATAAGACTTGTGCTACGATATGAGGATAAAGAGATAAATGATAACTCTTTCCTTTAAATCTAAAAAGGATTCAGGCATGTAGACACATTAAGATCGCACACTTTGTACAAAGAGATGAGACAGAGTCTCATGAGAGCATATACTACAGCTATAGTAGGCAGACCAGCATTTGCTTTCTGAAAGAAGAGGCATCTGAGCCTGTTTTACAGGGTCAGTAGCTAGCTACTAAGGAAGAAAAGGGTGTTTCATGTAAAGGCACCCAATGCAAAAGCATTAAAAGCACATGGTCTTTCTGGGGATATGCAAGTAATTGAGCATGGCTGAAGCAGTATGGGTATAGTATGCAGGGAGAGATGGCAGTGATACAACAGTGAGATAAGTGAGGTTTGCAAACATGAAAATCCTTGTTTCCTGAGGGCAGTGAGGAGTGATATCAGCATTGTGTTTAGTGATAGCGTTGGCAGTGATATAGATAATGGAGGAGAGAATTGAGAAGTGAAACTGGAGGCAGCAGCCCAATTTCGAAACATAAAGTAATCCCGATGAGAAGAAAATCCAGATTCAATTAAGTCAGAGTTGAACTCATGCACACAAGATAAGGTAAGACTTTTCTCATAACATCCTCCCAGGAGAAATAAGACCTATTTGATACATGCAAGGTCATCAGGGCACCATGGCAGAGCCTTTTCCCTGCAGGCAATGGTAGTGGGTTTGGAAAGGAAGCAGTAAAGAATTAAGGAGGTAGGAGGTATTAAACAGTAGAATAAACAGGTTGGTGGCTAGATGGAGATGTCAAAACTAACACCCAAGTTTCTGTCTGCAGCAACTGGGTAAATGATGAAATATTCATACAGATAGGTTATACACTGCAGAACAAGATCAGTCCTTGAAGTGTAATCTTGGGATATCCAAAGAGCAGTGATAGTAGGCAATTGGTTATATGATTTGGACACTCCTTAGAGATCTGGCATGGAACTACAGGGAGTTCTGGGATGCAGGTAATAGTCAAAGCCACAGATAAACTGACATCAAATAGGGGAGTGAATAACATGAGAGGAGAACATTTCCAATATAAAAAATATGGTTTTTAAGAACAAATACCCCCAAATAATAAGAATCATAGCAATAGAAGCACCACAGGCTAACATCTTAGAGAAATGTACCCCTTTTCTTCTGTAGCTGAATTGGCTTTAAATTGTTTGGAAAGACTAGGTTTATAAAAGAAAATTGGTCACTATGGAAACAGGCTATTCAATATCAAACAGGCAGTTTGACCACAAAAGTGGTAATTACTTAAGTTTTTTCTTTAATTATATGTTTTCATGGTTTTCAATAAGCATATATTCTTTCAGGCAGAAATCTGAAGTCAGTTAATGATGTGGTGAGCCACAGCAATAACAGTAGTCTATAACTATTCCTCCCAGGTTGCTTACTATCGGAGTACCCCAGACCTAGACATTTTGTGACTTTAATACTCTGCATTTTATCGCCGTATACAACTTACCTAATTTATATAGCCAGTCTAAACCTAAATGAAAAGAGTCACAAGAAATATCTCTTATCTTTTCCTTCATGGCCAATCCCCTTAATGAAGAATGTATGGATTTCATGTTACTTATCAATTTTTTTCTCTAGGCTGCCATTAAAATCTAAAGTTATACAAGAAAAAAATATATATCACATTTTAAGAAATATGTCACCAAAATCCTAAACAAAATTCATGTAAATTCTTGCAATGTAAGTCTCTTGTCTGGTGCATTATTCTACATTTTTAAACTTTGAATATATTCATATTTAAATAGTAGTTGCGTCACTAACCTTATCCAAAAAAGCTTGTACTGCTGCTTCCTGATTCGCCATATAAGCAATGTATTTGTGTCTCCCAATGGAAGCAATTATCTGAGTCTCTTTTTCCAGAAGTTCACATAGAGCAGCTTTCCTTTCAGCTCCAGTGAAAGATTGGTTAATACGTTTAAGTTCTTCTTGCCACCAGACTAGAGGAAAAATACAATAGACTCTTGAGTTTTTAAAATCCCATTTTTTTATGATCACATTCTGACAAGGAGTATCTTATTTTTACGCTGATTTAAATGAAAGTATACACAGATAGAATCATTTATATTGTACACCTGATGTATGAAAAAAAATGACAAAATAGAAGCTGAGAGACTTAAAACAACAAAAGTGAAGTCAAACAAACAGAAGCCAAAGGAAAACAGTGCAGATGATGTCAAATTATGTCTCCAAATGAGCATTCGTACTGCCTATCACTGACAAAAATATAACTTGGACTTTGTGGCAGCCATGAGCATGCACTGTTCACATCTCCCTTCAAGAGAGTACCTGTCACAAGGGGTAAAGGTAATTCACAATTTCAACTACAGCATTTCAGAGATGCTGCCTTGCTGAAGCCAAGGTCACACTGCCTACAAAGCTCTCGACAATGACCAGGCACCACGCAGGAGTCAGAGCCTGACTGCATCTGCCCAACAATGGACTTTTCTGTGGTCAGTCATATCAGAGCCAACTGCCGGGTTGGTTTAGACTTCCTTAGAGCTAAGACTCTCCATACCCCATCTTCTTTCCTTCCCTCTCTCAACTGATGAGGTGTCAAATCTCACGTCAATCTGAAGATTTCCTTTGCCTTCCTCTGCTCCCTTTCCCCTTTATCTTCACTTCAAATTACATCCTGGTGTCTCCTTCCTCAATGACGCAAATTGACATAGTTTTATGTACAATTGTTGATTTCGGTCATGTCCTTCATTCACTTTAGGTGCCATTTTCCATTTATTTACAAAACTCTAAATTATAGTCATAAATGTTATAAAGTAATTGCATTTACTGTTTATTCAAACTAATGCATTATGTTATAATAATATTTATGACATTTTAAAGCACTGGTTACTATCAATAAAAAATATGCTGCCCAAACTTGAATAAGCCAAAATTTCTGAGCTCAGATACATGCATTTTACCAATTGTTCCATTTAATTTTTACATGTACTAAATTTGGAGAAGAAAAATCTTTTGTATCCCACATTTCAAAAATGTCAACCTTATTTACATTAACGAAAGAATAGGGTTGGAAAGAACTTAAATTAAATCGTTCAACCTCATGTTTAAGAAAGTATCCTTCTCTCAGAAGCTCGAACAGGTTTCATTTGCCCATCCTGGTTCTAATATTAGCCTGTGAGGCAACATGGCGTCGGTCTGTTTCTTGGTCACATAGTATTCCTTTGGGTATGTGAAGGGAGCAATCACATCCCACTGATGTTTTATCTTCTCTAGGCATAAATATTTCTATTTCTTCAATTGTCTATCATTTTATTCATTTTCTATCCATCTAAGTCAAGCTCCTCTGATTTACCACAGTACCTCTTAAAATATGGCATACCAAATTTGTCAAGATAGGAGCTTCCATACAAACTGCTACCTCCCCTCTCCTGTGTCACTGCTAAAAGGATAAAAGAAATATGAAAGGTGGGAGAAAAGAGAGAGACCTGAATCAGTACTAAAAATCTGAATGGAATTTATCCCTATGGTAGAACCCCTGGGGAATTTCTAAAAGATACAGTGCAGATAGTACCAAATAAATGAAAGACTGTCAAAAAGGCACACAAATGTTATTACCCAAACTTCTGCTTTCTCATCTCAGAAAGTCAACATCATAGCAGAAGATGGGAAACCCCAACTACGCAACTCAGAACTAGAGAAAAGGGTAGCTTATCAAGCTATTTGATAGTGTACCACGCTTTAAGAAAGTCTTCAAAGAACTTTCAGAAGAATGCCTGACATTTCAAATCACTGCAGAAGTTAATAACAACTATGAGTTTATGCAAAAAAAAATTGAATAGTGCAGAAAGCAAGATGAGAAAAGCAAAACAAAGCATAATAGTTATGCTTAAAATATGAAATAATTATACACATATTTTTGTTGAAAATAAGACAATTTTATAAAATTCTAGTGACATGATGTTTTCAGGGGGCAAACTTGAAACAATGTGACACCAAAGTTGAAATATAAAAGGTTAGTAGATACGAACAAAAAAGAAAGCAGAGGTAGCAATATTAAAACATGAAACTGCGGGGAGAACCTCAAAATTCAGGTCTTTTATGTAGAAGGTAATTTTATGATGAAATGTCTGTCATGAATGTTTATATAGGAAATCATATGTCATCAAATATGTTTTTAAAAACTTCTATCAGTTATAAACAATATTGGGGAGTATATTTTATATTATTAAAAACAGATAAAATACAAATGTATTAATCTATGACAGAGACAAGTAAAAAATTAAAAGCATAAAATATTTGAACAGTGCTTTTAAAAATTAAATTGTCATACATCAAGCTCTGAACACCAAAAGCTGAAAATTGTAAACTTATTTTCCAAGTTCGGTAAACCATTTACATAGATATTTGTAGAAGTAGAAAGTAGAAATGTTACAAACTACATTTTTACCGCAGAACAATTAAACTAGAATAACAAAAGCTTAAATAGAAATATTCAAACTGCTTGTTAATTGAAAAAAATCTCATCAAAAATAACAATTTAATCAAAGAAAAGAAAAAGTATAACACTATTAAGGGAAAAACACTACATGTCAAAATGCATAGGATCCAACAAAAATTTCAGCAAGGTAAACTTAGGGAAATTTGGCATAAATAATCCTCAAATGTCAATCATGTACCTGTCAAAAGTAGGAGGGATTTATAAAAAGCTGTAATGTTTGTAATAATCAACCACAATTCTTCTCCGGAAAATCATGTCTTCTCGGCACTTCATTCATTCTTCATGACTAAAGATTACTGAGAACAATTTTGATCATTACTCTGGTACCTTGGAATATACAACTGGACTGGGAACCCAAACTCACTTAAGCCATGTTTGTGCTATGCCCTGCATAGACACGAAAGTAAAACAGGTTGAAACTGCGAATAACTGTTCATTATTCTGAATAAATATTCCCAAAGTCACTTTGGTCTCTGTCATGTATCATAAATTTCAGTTCATTCCAGGTTTTTTGGATTTTCAGATCTATTCCTAAAAATACTTATGTGCCACATTGTACGGTTCTTCTTGTTTATTGTGCCTCTCACATGCAGCAACCCTGGTTTTGAATTTGCAGAATAAATTCTGTCTTTGCACTTCCACAAGCAGGATGCTCATGGATTCCTACCTGTAGACAGCAAGCTTGTCTTTCATTCACAGAGGTTTACATCACTTTAGCTTCATTCAACATACTCTCCCACTTCTCACAAACCATGTCATCCTTTCACTTATATACAGTCCTTTTCAGTGTGGACTTAACAGCTGGTTTACTACTGGAAGGCTACATTTAATTAATAAGTCATCTAAATCTTTCCTTTCAGATCGATATTATTATTTTTTTTTTCAGAGTAATGAAGGTTTACAGTCTCATGAGCTACATCCTGGCCATAGAATCAAATCTAATTTTTCTCCGAATTTTAAGAAGCCTGTTTCTCAGATATGATTATTATAATTGCCCAAACTCTATCACTTCATCGCCAATTCAAAACACTCAATAATTTTTGGGCAATTATTATGTGAAAGGACACTGGTTCTGCGGTGCATTCAAAAGCAAGAATGACCTAGTTTTTTCTTGGAGGAACTAATATGTTTCCCTGCCTCTCCCTGGCTGGACAGGCTATAAAATCCTTCCACAGGCAAAGAATTTCTACTTCTCTTTTCATTTATCTTCACCTAAAAGCCCAACATTTTCACCATTAGGTTTAAAGACTTCCTTTGGGTAAATCCCTTCTTGACAGAAGATTACTTACCCTTGTCCTCCATTATATACAACTCAATCAAGTAAAATATACTCTGGCATTGCTATATTCCAGACATGATCATTTTTGTCACTAAGTTTTAGGGATAATTAATATAATTAGAAGCTATATTTGACTTCTTCTAATAAAATTTCAGGTTTACTTTAAATTCAGTCTCTGTGCATTAGATGATAAATATCTGAGGCTGTTAAGTATTGTATCTGGTCACTGCCTTTCATAACATCTAGTTTTATAGGTCAAATGACCTCAGCTTCCACCACAGGACTAGAAGAGGAGTAAGCTGAACGGAAGGTAAGTATAATGAAGGAAATACATAACAATAGAAATCAACAAAATGGAACAGAAAAACAGAATTGGAAAAAATCAGGGGAAGAGGAATAACACTGACAAATCCCTAGGCAGACTGATCAGGAAAAAAGGAAGAAACAAAATTACCAATATCAGTAATTGAGGTAATAACACTATAGATCCTACAGGTATTAAAAGGATAACATGGAACATTATTAACATCTTTATGCCAATAAATTCAACAACTCAGGTAAAATTAATAAATTCCTTTAAAGACATTAGCTATCAAAGCCTATCCCCCAATGATAAATAAGTCACATTATTATTAAAGAAATTGAACTTACACTTTAAACCTTCCCACAAAGAAAATTCCAGACCTAGTTGGTGTCACTGTTGAATTTCAAACATTTTATAAAGACATCCTACTAATTCTACACAAACTGTTTTAGAAAATTGAAGAGTACAGAAGAGACTAGCATTATCCTAATACCAAAACCAGACACTAACATAACAAAAAAAAAAAAAAATCACAAATATCCCTTATGAATATAGATGTTAAAATTCTAAAACAAATTTTGGCAAATCAAGTTTGACAATATATAAAGATAAGGCAATAACAGGATGTGGGACCACTAGGGATGTAATTAGGTAATGAGGGTGGAACTGGGATTATTGCCCTTATTAAATAGGCCCAAGAAAGCTCTTCATCCCTTCCGCTATTTGAGATCACAGTGAGAAGGCACCATCTATGAACCATCTCCAGATACTGAGTCTGCTGCCCTGACCCTGGACTTCCTGGACTCCAAAACTCTAAAAAATAAATTTCTGTTATTTATGTCTATGCCATTTTGTTACAATATCCCGAATAGATTGCAATCTTAACAAAAGGTGCAAAGGCAATACAATGGAGAAATGACAGTGTTTTCAACAAATGCTATAGGAACAACTGGATGTTCAAAAGAAAAAGTTTAAAAATTCACCTTAACACATATCTCACATCTCATACAAAATTTATTTCAAACTGGATGGTATATCTAAGTTCAAAATATAATACTATAAAACTTGCAGAACACATAGGAGAAAAGCTGTGTGACCTTAAGTTTGGAGATGAGTTTTCAGATATAACACCAAAAGCACAATTCACACAAGAAGAAACAAACAGGACTTACTGAAATTAAAAACTTTTGTTCTAACAAAGACACTGTTAAAAGAATAAAAAGACACACCAAAGACTGAAAGAATGGAAAACTGCCTGAAGGCTGTAGGAAAGGGTAGATCCTGTGAACACACTCTCACCTCTCAGTTCTTCTCCTCACCACTAGGGGCTGTTTCTTCACTGTACTTCTTTGGGAGATGAGTAAATGGGAAGAGCAGTTCTTACTTGGCTGGATAAACCCCCACTCTCCAGGCCTGTCAGATGATTCAAACTCACCATCCTGAGGCCCTTGAGCTGAACCCCTCCTCCTGCAACTCCCCTGACCCAACAGATGTATTTGCACTCCAGGTAGCCACTTGGGAGTAATCCAGCTGTTCACTTCAAGCTTCTTTCTGACAAGATCCTTTCATTTCTATAGCTGGCCCTATTAAACATGACCAAGAACACCTCAGATTACCCTGTTGCATGCTTACTCTCTCTTGTTTTCTCTACTGTATAGTCCCCTTTTGATAGAAAACAAAGATATATCTGTTTTTAAAATCCTAGGAGTAAAGAATGCAGCAGCCCTCTCCAATATCAAAGAAGTCTAAAAGTCCTCCTCTAGTTCTCTAGGTTTCCTAGGTTGGAGTCAGACCCCAATTTACCATCTTGGTCAAGGTTCAGGCACCAATCTTCCTTGTCCCCCAAACACAGGGAACATTTCAAAGCTCCCCAGGAGTGCTTACTCCCTTGAAGCTCCTCTCACTAGGCATTTGGTCAGGAAATAGCACAACCTACCCACCCCGACCCCAAAGCATAACAATGGCTCTCTCCAGAAAAAAACCCACTTTCCCAACCTCTTCAAATCTCTCCTAGCCCTTCTTATATCTTTTATCTTGCTAAGTGATGCATGAGCCAAGAAATAGGTCCTATTTTACTTCCTTTGTAAATTCTTTATCAGGGAGAGACAGACTGTCTCTCATTGACTCTGGTATCTTGATATCTCACCTACTGCAGCCTCAGTCGAAAATAAGGCAGGGTGACAGCACCCTCCAGTATGGCAACAATGAAAAAGACAGAAGTGTCTAGTGTTGGAGTGGATGACAGAGCAATTAAAATTATCATACCATTCTGCAGAAGTTTAAAATGGTGCAACCTCTAAAAAACTATCCGGCAGGATTCACTAAAGCTGAATTATGTATATCCTATGAACCACCAATTCCACTGCTAGGTTTACACTCTGAGAGAAGTGTGTGTGTGTGTGTGAGTGTGTGTGTGTGTGAGTGTGTGTGTGTCTACAAGTAGTATTGCTACAAACATCTTTTGGTGAAATATATATATTATTTATATATAATATATAAACATATATGTAGATATATATGAATTTATATTTATAAATACATATATTATACTTATATTTTATTTATATTTAAATATAACATTTGTTTATATTTATAATTTATTAAAATATTTAGATTATATTTTATATATTTATTTTTTATTTTATATTTTGTATTATATATATTTAATACATACACACACACGCACACACACGCACACACACACACACACACATACACATATATATATATATAAAATTCACCAAAGTGTACTACTTATATTTGCCAAAAACTGGTTGGGAGGCGAGGGGTGGTGCAGGAAGAACCAAATCCATGGTAAAATGGATACATAAGTTGTGGCACACCCATGCAATAGCATACTATACAGAAATGAGAACAAAGGGCACTACACACAATAGCACAGATCGGTCTCATGACATATACTGAATTTTGAAAAACAGACACAAAAATTTCTATTCTGCATAATTCTACCCATATAAAATGTTTAAATAGATAAAACAACTCCAATTATTGCAGGCTCTATTTAGAATATGGGATACTTTGCACTTTTTTTTCCAGCTAATGGCCCTAGAGACAATTCAGAACAACGAAAGAGATCACCCTCGACATATGGCTATAAAAAGACATAACAATCAAATATTTTTGCCTGGAGATAGCCTCATCTTTGACATATTACCTTACACAGTTAAATTTGTTTTCTTAAATTGATATCATTTTACTTTTATTATTGAAGAACAGGTTACCTTGAGGAAAAAGTTTCATATTATGGATACAAGTATTATTATCAGCCACAAGAGGGCAGCAGTTCCAAGGAATGGAATTATGAATATGAAATGAAGAAAATTACAGAAGAGCAATAAAAATTACTGAGCTTGTGAACCACAGATTTTTTAACAGAACTTAAAAATGATTATTCCAAGGCTTTTATTTAGAATTTTAGGACTAGAAAACCCCAAAAGATGTCCCTTTTATGTAAGAAACTTCATGTATTTCATTGTCCTCTATGTATAAATCATATGTAGACTTACATAAACTATAACCATTCTACTTCACTATGAAAATTCTGTATAAAATCATTTGCCATAGAACAATAGCTCACATATGTGTAGTTCCGTATACTTTTTAAAATATTTTCATGAATGTAATATTTTATGCTTTTTATTATATTAAACCCTCTGAAGTAGTCATGCCAGAAATTATTAATTTCTTTTTATGGATGAAGAAAGTGATCTTAAGAAGACATGAGTAACTTGTCCTAATTAACACCACTAATAAGTAGAAAAGGCGGAAGCTCATTCAACATATTTTCTATTATTTTACACAGCTGTCTGTTAACCAAACAAAAATAACAATGGTATCCTTTGCTCACATATGAATTTGAAATATTATTCCAAGAAGGGGAATGGTGAATCTACTGCCTGAGTAAAGAGGGCCTGGCTTGTTCAAATACCTGAAACTTTTAATTTATCCATGACTAGCACACATACTGTGGAAGAAATAAGGTATGAAAGTCAAGATGTATGAATATACATTTATATATTGTTATTAGTAAGGGGAAATTTTTAAAATATGGCCAAGCCCCTTCTCTAAAGAGCAAAATCAGACAGGATACTGGATTAAGAGATTAAAGAACAGCTCAACTCTGAGTTCACAAATTCCCCAAAGCACTAGAAAACCAGATTAGACAGTACTTTCTCTCTTTATCTCGCATGGAAGAGGATCAAATGAAATAATATATTAAAACTGCATAATTCACAAAGCAGTGTGAAGATTTTGTTAACTGTTAATATAGAAGCATTTCTAATTTCATTTCAGTCTTAATTCTTATTCCAAATATAAAGTGGTATTCATCTTTGAAAATTCTCTAGTCCAGATTTCCAAGACATCTCCCTAAAATAACACCTTCTTTTGTCTGCAGTAAATCTGCTTTTCCTACTAATGAAAAATTTAAAAATATTTTTTGCAAAGCCTATGTCAGACTTACATTCTAATGCATTATGAAGTAATTCAAAATCTTCATTTGTTTTAGGATTATGCCTCCGATCATAGTCCAATTTTATCCATTCTTCTTTTTCGCTTCTCTTCCTTAGTTCTTCCTGTCTTTCCCATTCCAACCTTAAGCATTTCTGTCTTCTTACATTCTCTACGAAGGTTTTAGCATGCCATTGCCTGAAGTAAGTCTGTATCACTATCACCTATAAATTAAAAGGAAACAGAAAGTGTCTATCATCAACTTTTTTTTTTTTTAATTTTTTTTTTTTTTTTTTTTTTTTTTTTTTTTTTTTTTTTTTTTTTTTTTTTTTTTTTTTTTTTTTTTTTTTTTTTTTTTTTTTTTTTCCCATTTATTTTATTGCATTTTAGGTTTTGGGGTACATGTGAAGAACATGCAAAATTGTTGCATAGGAACACAAGTGGCAGTGTGATTTGCTGCCTTCCTCCCCATCACCTACATCTGGCATTTCTCCCCCTGCTATCCCTCCCCAGCTCCCCACCCCCCACCGTCCCTCCCCTATTTCCCCCCAACTGACCCCAGTGTGTAGTGCTCCCCTCCCTGTGTCCATGTGCTCTCATCGTTCAACACCCGCCTATGAGTGAGAACATGCAGTGTTTGATCTTCAACTTTTTGATCAGATAATAAAGGCAACGATGACTATTTCAATTCCAATTCCACAACAACAAAATACTGAGTCTAGTTTTAGCTCTAAATAGATCTTTTCACATACAGTAACATAAAAAACATGGATAATGCATGTCACTGCTATTTGGTTTTGAAATCTCACAAATACACCTTCATAGAAGGATGTTTGTACAATCCTTAATAGAATGGACTCTGGAGTAAAACTTAGTTTGAATCTTCCTGCTGCTGCTCACTAGTTGTTTGATTTGGGATAAGTTAGCTGCCTTCTCTATGCTTTAGTACCCTCATGTATAAAACAGTGATAATAAGAGTATACATATAAAGTACTTAGCCCAAGCCTGCTACATCATGAGTCCTCAATAAATACTATTATTGTTATAAATATTAATTATTACCATCTTATCTTAAATGCCACTAGGTCATGTTTATAACAAAACTGTATTTCCTAAATATACATCAGGTAAGTTAAGTGTAGAAACCACCAAAGGCAGGTTAGATAAAATGGAGACTAAAGCCAACAAGTATTTATTAAGTTGTATGAAATATGAATACGTTTGAAAGTACAGCATAGTACTAAACCCTCAAAAAGTCTGCGATATACCTCAGAGTTTATCATTTTTTGAGAGTTTATAATTTTATTTATTAAACTCATAAATAAAATGTGAAGAAGCCAGATCAAGACTGATGATAGAGCATATGCTGATGCATCCCTTACTCTCATCCTAATGCCTAATAATTATAGAAAAACTATGTAAAGTAGGTATCGACAAAGATACTGGATTAAACTGAAGGGATCCCCTAAAGGAATCAGAAACTTTGAACAATCCCTTCAGCAAAAGAGGCTGGTAGAATTAATTGAAGAAGCAGTCTATAATCTAATCATACACTGGAGAAGCAAGTCAGAAAATACAGAAGGGACTCCAGGACTGCTCAAAGCCCAAAACTGCTGGATGGTCTGAGCAGAATGGCAACTAATCAGGTGACTGCTTTAAAAATGCAAAAGGGATAGGCTCCTCTAAAATAATTAGGCAAGGATCAACAGAGATATCTGTCCCTAGGCAAGAGTGGTGAATGTCCCAAAAGGTGACACCCAGGATGAAAAAAAAAGCCCCCATCCAGAAAACTAGCTTTCTTCCATAATCAAGCTTTACACATCCCCTAAAATCACTGGGGTCAGACTGGGTCAACAAATATGCTGTTGGCACATTGAACATTAAGAATCTCAAACACATCAGCAGCATCTAGAAAATTATCAGCAATGCAAATTTTTAGGCCCCACCCCAGAGCTATTAATCAGGAACTCCTGGGGAAGCAGAGCATTCTAAATATTCAGAAGCCCTCTAGATGATGCTTATACTAAAGTGTAACTGCTTCACTAGTTAACTTTACTAGAACTACTACTAGAGTAAATCAAAACAAAATACAAAAGCAGACTAGATATAGTTAATATTTTCACAGAGAAAGGAAAGGCTATCAGTATAAAATAATATAATGAACCAAGAAAAAAGACCGGCAAAATTTTTATTTTTGAAATTTAAAAAATTAATAGAATATGTGATTAGCCTGTATGCTATTAAACTTGTTAAACTTATTTAAAACACCAAAACACAGTTGTTTCAACAACACAGAAGTTTTTTCCCTTTCACATGGCAATCCAGGGATTAGCAAAGCAGTTTCGGGCTGGTGGGAAAACTCTGTCATATTCAACAAATGGCTTTCTACCTCTGTGTCCCAGACGGCCGGTCCACTTACCATCTTCCAACCAGTAAACAGAGGGAAAAGGAACAAAGAGCAGTTTTAGAACGATTGTCCCTCACATCTCATTGTCCAGATCTTAGTTACATGGCCTCACTGATACACAAGGGAGGTGATGAAATGTGGTCATCAGTGAGGCAGCCATGTGCTCAGATAAAGCTTTACCACAATAGAAGGGAAAGATGGGTATTCACAGAGTTTCTCGTAAGCTGATCTGCAGAATGTGCAGAACCTAAAAAGTAATAAGTAGGCAAGAAAATTAAGTGAGAAAATTTTTTAGGACAAAGAGTCATAAAATTTAAATGAATGTATGAAAAATAAGAGACATGAAAGATTAATCCAAGCCATTTATGAATTTAGAGAACAAAGGTTCTCAGTGAGTAAGAAAATAGTAGTCACTCAAAGAATAGGATGGTTAAGACATTTCATAGTTGCAGAGTGTCCTTGAGAGAAATACTGTTTTTTGTTAATTTTGTGGCTGACCTTATTAGTGCCTGTTATTCCAGCCTGATGATTTTTTACTTTCTCAGTCTAAATTAATTTTTACTTTCTTACTATACTGGGAATGGGTGGAGACTCTATGATGTTATCAGGATCATAAACTCCTTTCATCTTTCTGATCCGTTAAGCTCACCATGAGCTTGTTACTGTATGAAGATAAAGTGGTTGACTAATTTTCATCATGTCTGCATTCCATGTGAGAAGAAGGGAAAAATCAAGGCAGCATGTTCCATGAATGCCACCTTCAAGGATTTCCCCAGAAAGCCCAACCCAGTGACTTCTCCTTGCATCTCATTGGCTTGAACTATGTCCTATGACTATCCCTACTACGAAAGTGTGTGATAAATGAATTTTTAAAGCAGCATAATATTGCTCCTCAGCAAGATTCAGATCTTCTTAGTAAGAGGAAGTAAGGGAGAATGGGTATTAGGTAAGGAAATGGAAATTTCTGTCATTTTCCAAACTCTTAAAAATGATATTAAAAGTATAAATATACAAGGACAAAGAATACATGAGAAGAGTAAATGTCAGTTTTTTTTTTTTTTTTTTTTGAAGGAGATGGAGAAGTGTTAACTTGACTTACTAGAGCAGAGGAAGTGAAAATCTAAATGCCTGCCAAGGAGGATGGCATCAAGAACCAAATAGATTTGCCCCATAGTCTTACGAGGTGAATTGGTGATTTTGTGGGAGGTAGAAGTGAGGTGTGACCTGTAAACAGAGGAATTTGTTAAAAGCCTTACAGGGAGTACATTTTCATTTAATAAATTCTTTTAATTTTGATTCCTTTTTACTTGGGTCATGTTTATTTTATTTTTTAATAGGTTTTGAATTCACTGCTTACTATTTTAAATCTTGTTTCAAGAAAGATAATATGTTTGACTACTGATATTTCTGGACCCATTCTTACCATTTTATCTTGTTTTATTTACTAATTATTCTTATTTATTTTCTTTAGCCTTTTCTTTTTGTTGATTAAATGTTTCTTTTTTTGTTCTTTCACAATTCAGAAACAAGTATTTTATTTTCTAGTGGTTATATTACAGAAAAGGGTCCCAATCCAGAACCCAAGAGAGGGTTCTTGGATCTGACACAAGAACTAATTCAGGGCAAGTCCACAGAGTAAAAGTAAGTTTATTAAGAAAGTAAAGGAACAAAAGAATGGCTATTCCATAGACAGAGCAGACCCGAGGGCTGCTGGTTGCCCATTTTTATGGTTATTTCTTGGTTATATCCTAAACAAGGTGAGGATTATTCATGCCTCTCCTTTTTACACCATATAGGGTAACTTCCTGATGTTCCCATGGCATTTGGAAACTGTCTTGGCGCTGGTAGGAGTGTAGCACTGAGGACGACCAGTGATCATTCTCATCACCATCTTGGTTTTGATGGGATTTAGCTGGCTTCTTTACTGCAACCTGTTTTATCAGCGAGGTCTTTATGACCTGTATCTTGTGCTGACCTCCTACCCTAAGGCTTATAATGCCTTAACTGTCTGGGAATGCAGCCCAGTAAGTTTCAGCCTCATTTTAACTAGCTCCTATTCAAGATGGAGTTGCTCTGGTACACATGCCTCTGATAGTTAGTCATACACATTTTTTAACATAACTAAATTTTTATACCAAGTGCATATCTAATCAGGCTATATATCTTCTCCATGAATAAGTTAAGAACCCTACTAAGCTTTTCTTCATTTCCTGCCCCCTTCTTTCTTTGTTTCCTCTTTCTAGAAGCTGTCAGGATTTTCACTTTATCCTTGGTCTTTGATAATCTTATTTTAATATGCTTGAGACTTGGTGATCGACCCTTTCTGAGAGTTCATGTCTTGCTGTGGGAAATATTCCTCTATTATGTTTTGATGAATTTCTGTAATCAACTTTCCTCATTTTGTCTGGTACTTATTTCAGAAATATTTTGGAATGATACCAGACACGGTGGCTGATACTTGTAATCCCAGTACTTTGGGAGGCTGAGGTGGACAGATCACTTGAGGCCAGGAGTTGGAGACCAAGCTCGGCAACAGGGTAAAACCCTGTCTCTAGTAAAAATGCAAGAATTAGCCAGGCGTAATGGGACATGCCTGTGGTCCCAGCTACTCAGGAGGCCGAGGCATGCAAATCACCTGAACCCAGGAGGCAGAGGCTGCAGAGAGCTAAGATCGTGCCACTGCACTCTAGCCTGGGCGACAGAGTGGGACTCTGCCTTAAAAAAAAAGAAACTTTGCTGTTTGAAATTAGATCAGTAAGAAAGAAATATTCCACTCATGCCTAGAGATTCTACATCACTTTGACAGAGAAAAGCGGCCTCAATTTACAACCTAGGCACTGAACTTCAGAGAACTTCAAAGAAACATTTCCCTTCTCTTTTAACTTCGTTTTCAAGGGAACATGACCTTGATCCACTTCACAATCCAGACCTGATATTGACCCATTTATACATACCCTTGTTTTGCTTGAGACTATTAGGATACTGTTTCACTTAAATCCCCCCCAAACTTCACTCTTCCCCAAATTCTATAATGACTCCATATATTCCTTTATTTGGTGACAATTAGTTTGGACTGAAATATCAGGCTGGAGTAACTGGCACTGATAAAGCCTGCTACAAAGTTAGCCCCATGGTTCCCCTGGTATACTCTCTCCTTCAGGGCAATTAAGTCAACAGACTTCACTTTTTTTCACCGCAAGTTTGTCTCTAAAGGTCTTAGGCTGAATAGCTTAGCTCCAGATTTCTTGTCATTTGAAAAGCAAAATCTCTTAAAGTCACTGATTTCAGGTCATTTTTACTCACAGTAAAATGATGGTAGGAGGTAGATCAAATAGGTTGAAAGTAAAAGAATGAAAAAGGATAGACCATGCAAAAAAATAAAGTTGGAATGGCTATGCTAATATTAGAAAATTGACTACTGTCCCATTTGGTTTCAATTAGTCTGGAACATTCCCTTGGTGATTCTACTGTGACAAGAGTTAAGGCCAAGTGACAGCAGTGTTGAGAAGGCTAATAATAGCCAAATGCAATACACAAAGACACAAAGCAGCTGGGTTTCCCTAAGAGAAATGAAAGGATTAGGAGCATTTAGGATTCTTCTTTACATGGGGGAACACTGGAGATAAAGCCTGCTTTTGTTAGCAGTGAAACATGACCCATACTCATGAGCATTCTTTCTCAAGCAAGTGCAGCTTGGAGAAACAGACACACTCAGAACAACTGGCTTATATATCAAATTTTTAGTATTCATCCACAATAAAGGTTATCTTACCGCCTTTAGTCTTTGAGCATGGTATTCTGCTGCTGAAAAATACTTCCCTGGTGTTACCAGTTTATCAGTCATATTTGATACATATACACCAATGTTAGTCATCTGTGTAGATGCTGTATTTGTAGTTTGTTGGAGCTTTTTTTTCTCAAAAACTGTCTAAAAGAAAAACATTAAAAATTTAAGTATCCCTTATATTACACATATAAGGGGGTTTTTCTACATATTTAATTTTCTTTATTAATTGCCATATAATTAAGAGAAATTTGAGAGAGTCATATAGTACAATAGTTATTGAGTCTATAGCTTCAAAAACCTAAAGGAAAAAATTAAAACATTACCTGTGTATCCCTACAAAATACATTGGATCTTTCAGAAATCTTTCTAGGTATGGTTTGTGTTCCAGCATTGTGATACTCTACTCCTGTTATTTTATGTCTGAATCCACCAAGAAATGGTTTGTGAAAGTCAGATTTGACAATCTCAACAGTTACTTGCTGGTATTGATCAATGCCTGAGAGATAAAACCAAGAGGAATGAAAATTCAACTAAGAAGGGACTCAAAAATACTTTCTATAAAAGACATCAAATAACTAACCAGTTTGGACAGTGACAGCTATGATTTGACAGACATCAGTTAATCCAACTATTCTTTTGACTGGATACTGATCTGGATTTGCAGAAAAGATTTCCACTTGTGCAATTTCCTGTGGCTTAACTCCATGTTGTACTAGAGTCTCATTATTTTTAAGAATTTTTCCTAAAAAATGAAATAAAAATTTTAAAAGTTTTATGACAAAGAAATGGCTATTCATTGATTTTATTTTTTGTTTTGTAATTGAAAAATAAAAGTTGTATATTGTGTACAACATGTTTTGACTATATATACATTGGAAGTGGCTAATGAAAGCCATTAAATTGTCCATTACCTCATATACTTATCATTTTGGGGTCAGGACACTTAATATCTATTTTCTTAGCAATTTTCAAATATGTAATAATTATTATTAATTATAGTCACCATTTCTAGAAATGGCTAATTATACAGTCTCATTTTAAGGAGATGGAAAATATCAAAGGTGCTCATAGGAACACATATCATTTAATTATTAAATATAGTATTAATAGTTTCTATTAATAGTTTCTACTTCTTGCTCTGATGTTAGTACAGAAAACTCCATAATAGAAAGAGTTTTCATGGCATTCTTGAGCAAGGATTCAGCATTATAAATAATGCTACATTATAAATAACTGAATTCATCAGGAATATAAATATATAATAACCATGAATCTCTATAAACATTTAAAAAATAAAAACATTCTATGGTATGAGCAGAATAATATGCTAAACATTCACTCTATTAAAAAAAAAAAACATGCAAACTGTTAAATGTAAGTACAGGACATACCCATATCAAGAGAAAGGATAATTATTTTAATATTCACCCTATCCCCCATATTAGTTTGTTCTTACATTGCTATAAAAAACTACCTTAGACTTTATAATTTATAAAGAAAAGGGATTTAGGCCATGTATCATGGCTCATACCTATAATACCAGCACTTTGGGAGGCAGAGATGAGCAATCACTGTGGCCAGGAGTTCATAACCAGCCTGGCCAACATGGTGAAACCCCATCTCTGCTAAAAATACAAAACTGAGCCAGGCCAAGGTGGTACATGCCTGTAATCCTAGCTACTCAGGAGGCTGAGGCAAGAGAGAATTACTTAAACCAGGGAGGAAGAGGTTGCAGTGAGCCAAAATCACACCACTGAACTCAAGCTTGAGCAACAGAGCAAGACTCTGTCTCAAAAAAATGAATAAAAAGAGGTTCAATTGGCTCACCATTCCATAAATTGTACAGGAAACATGGCTGGGGAGGCCTCAGGAAAATGTGGCAGAAGGTGAGGAGGAAGGAGGAACATCTTACATAGCTGGAGGAGGAGAAAGAGTATGAAGGAGGTGGTGCTACATACTTTTAAACAATCAGATCTCATGAGAACTCACTATCGAGAAGAGAGCAAGGGGGAAATCCATCCCTACGGTCCAATCACCTCCCATAGACCCCTCCTCCAACACTCAGGATTACAATTCAACATGAGATTTGGGCAGGGACACAAATCCAAACCACATCATTCTGCCCCAGCCCCTCCCAAATGTTATGTCCTTCTCACATTGCAAAATACTATCATCTCTTCTCAACAGTCTCCCAAGTCTTAACTCATTTCAGCATTAACTCAAAAGTTCACAGACCAAAGTCTCATCAGAGTCAAGGCAAGTCCCTTGCACCTATGAGCCTATAAAATGAAAAAGAAGTTAGTTACTTCCAAGATACAATGGGGGCATACGTGTTGGGTAAATATACCCATTCCAAAATGGAGAAATCAGCCAAAACAAAGGGGCTACAGGTCCCATGCAAGTTCAAAACCCAGAAGGGCAATTATTTTATCTTAAGGCTCCAAATAATCTCCTTTGATTCCATGTGTCACATCCAGGCCACACTGATGCAAGGGGTGGGCTCACAAGGCTTCGGGAAGCTCTGCACCTGTGGCTCTACAAGACTTAGCTCACATGGCTGCTCTCAAGAGCTGGCACCGAGTCCCTGCGGCTTTGCCACGTGCACAGTACAAGCTGCTAATGGATCTACCATTCTGGAGTCTGGAAGATGGTGGCCCTCTTCTCATAACCTCACTGGGCAATGCCACAGTAAGGACTCTGTGTGGGGGATCCAATCATATATTTCCCCTCTGCACTGCCCTAGTAGAGGTTCTCTATGAGGGCTTTGCTCCTGAAGCCAACTTCTGCCTGGACATCCAGACATTTCCGTACATCCTCTGAAAACTAGGCTGGGGCTCCCAAGCCTCAACTCTTGTCCTCCGTGTACCCACAGGCTTAATACAACATGGAAGCCACCAAGGTTTATGGTTTCCACCCTCTGGAGCAACAGCCTAAGACATATCTGGGATATGTCTTTTAGCCACAGCAGGAGCTGGAGTGGCTGGGACATAGGCAGAAGTGTCCTGAATGGCCCTGGGCCTGGCCCACAAAACCACTTTTCCCTCCTAGCCCTCTAGGCCTATGACAAGAAGGGCTGCCATGAAGGTCTCTGAAATGGCCTTGAGGCATTTTCCCCATTGTCTTGGCCACTAACACTTGGCTCCTCTTTACTTATGCAAATTTTACAGCCTGCTTTAACTCCTCCCTTGAAATAGGGTTTTTCTTTTCTGCCACATGGTCAGGCTACACATTTACTAAACTTTTATGCTCAGTTTCCCTTTTATATGTAAGTTCCAGTGTCAGATCATCTCTTTGCTCACACATATGATCATATACTGTTAGAACCAGCTAGGCCACATTTTGAACACACTGTTGCTTAGAAATTTCTTCCACCAGATACCCTAAATCATCACTTTGAAATTCAAAGTTCCACAGATCCCTAGAGCAAGGATACAATGCTGCCAGTCTCTTTGCTAAAGCATAGCACATGTGTCCTTTACTCCAGTTCTCAATGAGTTCTTCATTTCCATCTGAGACTACTGCAGCCTGGACTCCATTGTCCATATCACTATCAGCATTTTGGTCACAACAATTAACGAGTCTCTACTAAGTTCCAAATTTTCCCTCATCTTCCTGTCTTCTTCCAACGCCTCCAAACTGTTCCAACTTCTGCCCATTACCCAGTTCCAAAGCTGCTTCCACATATTCAGATATCTTTAGAGCAATGCCCAACTTCTCAGTATCAACTTTCTATATTAGTCTGTTCTCACATTGCTATAAAGAACTACTTAAGACTAGGTACTTTATGAAGAAAAGAGGTTTAACTGGCTCAAAGTTCTATGGGTTGTACAGAAAGTGTGGTTGTGGAGGCCTCAGGAAACACAATCATAGCAAAAGGTGAAGAAGGAGGAGGCACATCTTACATGGCTGGAAAAGGGGGAAGACAGCAAAGGAGGAGGTGCTAAACACCTTTCAACAACCAGATCTCATGATAACTCACAATTACAAGAACAGCAAGAGGGAAATCTGCCCCCATGATCCAATCACCTCACACAAGATGGAATACAATTGGGGAATACCATTCAACACTGAGGAAGGCAATTCAACATGAGATTTGCGTGGGGACACAAATCCAAACCATATCACCTCCAGCACAGAGAAGCATATATGCAGAATCCCTTACTTTCTCTCTTTTCATACCCAGAAACTCACGTAAATTAATTCATGCCATGATGAAGGTAAGCCTCAGTTTTATGCTAGAAAAAGTGTACATTGCTTAATTTCTATGATGCTATTGTTTTAACTTCTACTCACTCCTCCGCCATCTGCTCAGTCACTAGTGTATTCAGTAAAGTGACTAATTTTCTTTCACTATTTTAAGGCATACAAAAAAGTAATTATGTGACTGACCGCTGTTTTGTGTCATAGAAACTTTATTGATGGAATCTATATTAATCTTCAAATTTGTGACCCTTCTAAATTGCAGTTAGGAATGTGAACACATCAAAAGCTTTACTCATTCAAATATATCAGACACCACTACAGTCTCCAACTTACAATGATAATGGTTCAACTTCCAATTTTATGGCTTTACAATGATGCAAAAGCCACACACATTTAGTAGAAACTATGCTTTGAGTACCTATACAATCATTCTGTTTTTCATTTTCAGTGCAGTATGCAATAAATTATGTGAGATATTCAACATTTATAAAATAGTCCTTGTATTAAATAATTTTGCCCAACCATAGGCTAATATAACTGTTCTGAGTACATTTGAGGTAGTTTAGGCTTACTAAATGCATTTTTTACATATGATCCTTTCAATTTATGATGAGTTTACTGAGACATAACCCAATAATAAGATAAGGAGCATCTGTAGTCTATTTTGGCTATGTTCAAGAAAGCACATTCTAAGATCTCTGAGTTTCTATTTCACACCCTAAATTCTTCAGTTAAAAAATTAACATTTGGGCCAGCCGTGAGGCTCACGCCTGTAATCCCAGCACTTTGGGAGGCCAAGGTGGGCAGATCACAATGTCAGGAGTTTGAGACCAGCCTGGCCAATAAAATGAAACCTTGTCTCTATCAAAAATACAAAAATTAGCCGGGCATGGTGGCGCATGCCTGTAGTCCCAGCTACTCAGGAGGCTGAGGCAGGAGAATCACTTGAACCTGGGAGGCGGAGGCTGCTGTGAGCCAACATTATGCCACTGACTCCAGGCTAGGTGACAGAGCAAGACTCCATCTCAAAAAGCATTAAAATGAATGTCATATGGGCCTTATGATAGGTTGAATAATGGTCCCAAGTATGTCTACATCCTAATCTCTAGGGCCTATGAATATGGAAAAAGTGGCTTTGCAGATTTGATTGAGAATTCTGAGCTGGAAAGATTTTCCTGGATTATCTGGTCAGGCCTTAAATGTAATCACAAGTCCCCTTATAAGAGGAAGGAATAGGAAAATTTAATGACAGAGGAGAAGGCTATATGACAGAAGCAGAAAGAGATTTGAAGATGCTACAGCTCTGGCTTTTAAAATGAAGGAGCTAATAAGACAAGAAAAACAAGGAATGCAACTCTGGAAGCTGGAAGGGCAAGGAAGTAGATTCTCTTTCAGAGCCTCCAGAGGGACAGCAGCCCTGTAGACCCCTTGATTTTATCTCAATGAAATTAATTTTAGATTTTTTGCCTCCAGAACCATAAGCAAAATACATGTGTTGCTTTAAGCCACTAAGTTTGTGACTGTTAGAACAGCCATAGGAAAGCAATACAGGTTTCCAGAGCCATCTTCATTTCTATACTTATTTCTGTAATGGGCTTAATCCCAACAAACTGGAGCTCAAGTTACAGTACTAGCAAAAAGCACTTTAGAGGATGGTTGGCATAGAATCAAGCTCTTTTGTAATTGGTGCTGGCATAAGCCTGTTACCCAGTGGTGATGCCTGGTACTTAAAGAAGAAGGGTCATGAAGTACAAAGAACAGAGAAATCCTTAAGTACCATTAGCTAGTTACTACAACCTCAAAGTGCTCTCTCATCCAATTTTGAACTTCACCTTATAGTTAATGCCCAGCAGTTCAAATTCCCTCTGGAGTCATACCTACGTTTAAGTTCAGACTCTGCCACTTACCAGTTTTGGGACTTTGCACAAGTTTCTTGAGTTTCAGTTTCCTTCTCCCAAAATAAAAGTTACTAGTAATTCCTACATCAAAAGGCTGTTGTGTGAATTAAATTATAATGTAGGCAAAAGATTTTTGGAAGTACTAGCACACAGTATGTGCTCAATAAATTAATCACCAACAGTATGGTCATAATCATTATTACTAACAATTATTTAAATTTTAGCTTTTGTGTTTTGAATCAAGTTTTAACAATCACTTATCTGAACACATGTACATCTTATTTTTGGAGTACATTTAGTATAATAGACTTTTTTAAATAATTTGGAAATTAAATTGTTTTTCTCTGGAAACATTTTGTGGCATCTTTATAAGTCAATATCAAAACTGTTTAAAATATTAGGATCTGTTCAGGCATATTCTATAGAAGCACATATTTAGGTCCGTTAGTCTGGTAAACTTTAACAGTTAATACAGGCTATGTCCTCTCATGACATGAGATTAATATAACTTCAGTGGGCTATTCAATGTCATCTACAAAATAAAAATATGCCTGTCATCATGGAAATATGAATTGACTTTAATGCACAGAATACTCACAAATCCTTTCCAGTCCTCTTCCTGTTCTACACAATCTCTTTCATCATCCATTTTTTCAATCGCATCTCCACCCGCTACGCATATATAATCTACTTCCAGCCTCTCAACACTTCTTACCACTTCTCAAAACCTCCACATTTTCTCACCTCTTTGTGACTTGGCACAAGTATTATCACTTTAATTAAATGAAACTTTCTAGAATCTACTAAGTTCCTTCCCTTGTTCCCACAGCTTTTTGTGCATATTTCCATGGAGGCGTTTACACGTTACGGGGCAGCTACTGCAGGTATCCTCTTCCTTACTAGTCTACATGATTTCAAAACAGGAATCTTATTTCGTGTTTCTCTATATCTTCATTTCTTAGCAAAGTATCTAGAATAAAGTAAGTCCTTACTAAATGTGTGTTGAATGAGTGAATGCATAACCACAATATAATGTTCAGTGAGTATCAAGATATTTAGTTTTTAAAATCAAAGATCTTGATTGTTTACATGCTAAAACTAGAAAAGTCTTGATATGTTTTATTAGCCTCCAAACTTACCTGAGTATCTTATCTGTAGTATAGAATGTGGGATACCTAATAAGTGTGAAAAATGGTCCTTGAGATGTTTAAGAATGGTATCAACCTTAAAAGGCATTACAATTTCCTGGCCCACTGGAATAAGTACAACTTTTACTGTAAATTAAAAGAGAAAAGAAAGAATTATAGTCAAATAGAGCAAAGGTCAGCAAACTACAGTCCACAAACAGATACAGAATTATGTGTTAAAAATTACATAAAATGCGAGTTGTTCTTGCTAGTGTTTCCCTGCTGCGCCCCAATGATAACAATATGCTTTTAATTTTCTACAAGGAAAAGTGACCAACATTTAGTTGCTTTGAAAAATCAATCCATAATCTCAGAAATTAGCTCTAATATTCAATACCTGGCATGTATTGTTCAGATGTAAGCATAGGAAACATCTCATAAAATCAGGCATTTTGCATAGTGAATTTAGGAAAGAGAAAACTGAGACACAGAGGGTGTCCCAGAAGTTAGAAATGCAATATAACTACTTTTCACAGGGAAGGACATTATATGGCTCAATCCCCTCTAGAAAAGAGAGAATCAAGATACTTACACATTAAAAAATTTAAAAAGTCATTATAAAATGATTATCTGTTCACAAGTATAGGAGGGAAATACAGTATGTAAAAAGTAATTAATATGAGTAAATTATTTTATTTTACATCTATATACTTCAAATTTTAATGGAGAAGATGTAAGAAGATGAAGTATAGAATGCAGACTACATACCATAAAAGTTCTGTGTATTTCTAGATGCCTGAAATTACAGTTTTCATAAAGCTAAATAAGACATTTTTATCAACAGCATGGCAAAATTTAAGTAGACACTGGTAATTCTAAGGTTCTCTGAGCTTGTTAAAATTTGTTTTCACAGTTCTCTTTCAACAAAGAGAATATTTTCACAGATGGTAAACTATAAGAAGGCTATTGTAATTGTGTTATTGGTGCAAAAAACTATAATAAATTTCAAAATTTTAATAGTAGTTACTTCTTAAGCTTTGACAAGTAGAAATGTGTTAAAGGATTTGTGAAGCTCAGGAGGTACAGAACCAAGACAACAATTTTTTTTAAATCACTATGTGTTTGTTATAAGTTACAATATCAGGGAATGACAAATACCCAAAAATGAAACCTAAATTTACATTAAATACTAAAATTGAGAGATAGCTGCTTCAGTCAGGTATAATTAGGCTTAGGTAGTTTTCTCTCCCTTCTTTTCATTCTTTACTTATATGGACACATTACACAAGGGTAAACTACCCCACTAGATTCAAAAGCTACATTTCACCAGCCAAACTAAGCTGCTGTTATTGTTGTTGTTAAATCGCAGTTCGTGTTCTCCACTCTGTAGGCAGAAACATTCTCAAAACTCATGTACAAGGAGGAAAAGGAACAGTCAGTTAAAACAAGTAGAATGGTTCTCTGTGTAACCACATTATTGCTGCTGCCACTCTGCTGTTATTAAGAATGTAACAAAAACTACTATATGTCATCGACATTATTTTATGTCTTTAAAATTAACCTACAATGAAAAATCATTATTTTTCTACAGGAAAATATAAGTTAACACTAAACAGACTATAGAAATACATAAAAGCAACATCATATATAGAATGAGCGACCACTGGATACGAAACTAGAAAATCTGTTGTCGAGTTCCCATCCACCTCTTGCTATTTAGGTACAACAATTAATTCCAAATTGGCATGCAAAATAATTCCCATTTTAGTCAACAATTTATCCATCATTTTCCAAGGTCCCTAAACATTTTTAAAACCTACTTTCTTTGAAAAAAGTAAATAAATATCAATTTTTAACTTTAATGTTGGTCATTCATTGATGAAAAATAGATACTGCAGAATAGAGAGGCTTTTACAAATAGTTAAGATATTCAAGCGATGTAACTCTGGAAGTTTGGTGGATAAGGGAAAGGAATATAAAATATAAAACAAATCTTCAAGCAAAAATAAGCCAACAAGGAAAAGCAATCATTCTTCAAAACAAGAAAATGAAATAGCCTATCTTCCTTAGGTAGTACCTGTTGCTAGAGAATCTTCCTTTGATTCATGTAAAGCCTCCTTTATAGCCTTTATTTTATCCAGAAATGCCAAACTATCATCATTTGGACTCTGCATTGCAAATTGCCTTTCGTGATGTAGTGGAGTATATGAAACTTGTCTTGGTGATATAACCTCTTCCATGAGTTGTTCATTGTCTGGTTCCACGCTTGAAAAGCTTTGGGCACTCTGCTCCTTAACGTGCATTGCACGGCTCTCATTGAATTGTTCTAGTCCAGATTCATGCTCTTCAGTTTGATCTGACTCTTGAGGCTCTTCTGAGGGAACCGGAATAGTGATGGTGTCAAAAGCATCATCAGTTTCTTCTGTTGAATCATCTATATTCTGAGCTTCATATTTATCCTCCTGACTAGACATTTTCCTGAATTAAGACAAATAAACAAGTTTACTACATAAAGTCTCTATACCAAAAATCAAATTTTTTGCTACCATAGAGTAATATTCATAATATTCAAGTAAAATATTGCTCATTTAAAAAATGTTTATTATCTCAGTAATGGCATTAGATTTTAAAAAAGAAGCTTAAAAGAATAAATTCGACAGCAATACTCTGCAAATATATGGAAAAATATTTTAAAATCTCTTGTCATTTCTTCCTTATTTAAGGAAGAATGCCTTATGAAAAGACTTTTTGAATTATCTTTTTTTCTGAATACAAAACTGATAAATGGATGCTTCTAGGATTACAAATGATTAGAAGCTCCAAGGAACCAGCCAGCTCTATACCAAGTGAACCCTGAACAGCATACACTTTTTGTAGTAGCTCTGCTCTTATAAATTGTAGCAGAGGTGTGCAATGACCTCTGCTCCCCCAAATATACCTATTACAACTAATATAGGTTAAGCTTGGAGCTGACTAGACCTACAGCTATAGCAACCAAGAACTTGGGTTTGGAGGACAAGATGACAGCATCTAAAAGCTTGGGCCAGGATAGTCCAGGGCATCCCAGAGCCAGGCTGCTGATGCAGGAGATAAATCACAGAAGCAAATGGCCAATACAGCACGGAGCCCATCTATAGAAGCCAGGAAGAGAAGATAGGGAAGACAGCCCCAAGACAAGATTTTTATGGCAAAGGCAAGAGCAATATGAAACCTTGGAACAGTAGTGAGGTGGAAAAACTCTCTCTGGGCCTCTACTTTGAGCACAAATCTTTATGGAGAAAATAAATTCACCCATAGGTAGTGGAACTGTCTGGCTACCAGATTATAATTTTTTTTAAATGGAAACATCTGCAATAAAAATATATAATTTTTGATCTCAGTGAATAAGCTATATAAGATTAGAGAGAGTTGAAGAAAGAATTAGTAAACTGGAAGATAAATAAAATGATTTTATGTACAATGATGCAAAGAGATAGTATATAAAAAACATGAGACCAAAAGCCAGGGAAAAGAAAGCCTAGCATGTTTTTGCTAAGCATATATTTTGCTGTGATTTTGTACTGTATAATCAAAAAACAACAAAGAAGATGCATCAGAGACTACATGTGGTCTTTGTAGTCTAAAAATGACCTGTGAAAAGTCATTTTCATAAAGTGTTTGCCAGCTCCTAAACTAACATATGTCAAAATGGAGTCCCAAAAGCAAATAATAGAAAGATAGAGGAGAAAAAATATTTGTTATATATTATTTATTCTTTTTGAGACAGAGTCTTGCTCTGTCACCCAGGCTGGAGTGCAGTGGTCCAATCTCAGTTCACTGCAACCTCCGCTTCCCAGTTTCAAGTGATACTCCTGCCTTAGCCTCCTGAGTAACTGGGACTACAGGCATGTGCCACCACACCCAGCTTATTTTTGTATTTTTAGTAGAGGCAGGGTTTTGCCATGTTGGCCAGGCTTGTCTCAAAGTCCTAGCCTCAAGTGATTTGTCTGCCTCATCCTCCCAAAGTGCTGGGATTACAGGTGTAAGTCATGATGCCCAGCCAGGAAAAATATTTTAAAAGTAATAGCTGAGAGATTTTCAAAACTGATAAAAGAATATGGATTCCCCAGATCCAGGAAGCATAATATAAATATATACCAAACAGGTTAAATAAAAATAATTAGTAGCCATACACATTGTTATAAAATTACAGAATATCAAAGACAAAGAAAAGGTCCTGAAAGTACAGTGATAAAGAACATAACATCTACTGTTTTGAATCATATTAATTTACTGACATTAATACAAAGAAAAGTAAAATCACTGCAGACTTATCAGAAAAGTAGGAGCCAATGTAACAATAGGCTAACCAAAGAAGGTAACTATCAACCTAGAATTGTGCACCCAGCAAAATTAGCTCTCAAGAACGAAAACAGAAGCATTTACAAGTTAGTTACTAAGTTACCACCAAAATATTTGCTCTAAAGGAACTTCTAAAGAAAATACTCAAAGGAGGAAAATGATTTCAAAGGATGTCTGAAGTGCAACTCAAAAAGGTAAATGTATAAAACCATAAACACATGGGTAAATCCAAACAAATACTGTCAATACAAAATGATAGTAAATTGAAATATTAGACAGTAATATGTAATTGGGAAGGGAAAAACCAACCTATCTCAGATCCTTATTCTGTTTTTTTGTTTTTTTATATATATATAGATTTTGGGAGTACAAGTACAGTGCAGTTTTGTTACATTAATCTATTGTATAGTGGTGAAGTCTGGGCTTTTATTGTAACCATCACCCAAATGGTATAAATGGTACCCAGTGAGTAACTTCTCATCCCTCATGCCCTTCCCATGCTCCCATTCTTTCATGTCTCCAATGTCTATTATTCCACTCTCTATGTTCGTATGTAGATGTTATTTTACTCCCACTTATAAGTGAGAACATACAGTATTTGATTTTCTGTTTCTGAGTTATTTCACATAAAATAATGGCCTCCCATCCCAAGAGGGATACATTCTTAACCCTAGACTTTATTACTTAAATATGCATAGTTAAATCTCAACTACAAGCAATCAAAAAACAAAAACACAGTTTTTAAATCCCAAAGCAAATAAGAGGGGAAAAAAGTGAAATGAGAAAAACCTGAACAACAGCTCAATTTTTAAAAAGGTCAAGAAACTTCTTCGGGCTCTCACTCGCGCACACACACACACAAACAAACAAACAAAACTTCATTTTGATGATTTTATCCTATAACAGAGTTTAGTGGTCTGATTAGAAAGAGAATACCATAATGAAGGCCTAACTCCTGGCAACATACTCATCTGCCCTCTTTGGAGAGTCTGAGGTAATGCTTTTGTTTCTAACTGAGGAGTCATCCTCACCCCAAACTGGCCAAAATGGTATCTTCTAAAAACAGCAATAGCAACAAAATCAAGAACTTCTGCTCTTCAGAAAACACAACTGGGAGAATAAAAAGATAAATCATAGACTGGAAGATACTTTTCACAAAATGCATATCTGTTAAAGGACTTATATCCAGACTACACAGAGAATAATAAGAAAAAAATAATATTTAAAAAGGGTAAAAGATTTACACAGACACTTCAGCAAATAATACACAGAGAAGGCAATTAAGCAGGGCCAGGCTGAGGTTGAGGCAAGTGAAGGGCCTGCGCTGCTCTACGCTCGTACTCGTGTCTGAAAATGAATGACTCCTAGAATTTTGGGCCTAGGTGCATCATTTGCTTCACCCTGGTCTCAGTCCTGAGAACAAACACATAAAAAGAAGCGCAATATCATTAGTCATTATAAAAATAGAACTTCAAATCACAATGAGATAGTACTATCTACCTATTAGAATAATTAAAATAATATGATTAAAGCTCTCTAATAGCAAATGCTAGTGAGTAAGTATAAAGGCAAGTAGTACACACAACAACATGGATGAAACTCAAATCATGCTCAAATTATGAAGAAGCCAACTCTACTAAGGCTGCGTACTATTGACTCTATATGACGAATCCTAGGGTTAGAAGATACACCAAAGCCTAAGGGCAAAGATGAGTTGACTACAGAAGGATGTGGGGATTTTTTATGTAATGGAAATATTCAAAATCTCAATTGTGGTAGTGGTTACGCAAACTATATGTGTTTATTAAAACGCATAACACTCCAGACTAAAGAGGGTAAATTTCATTGTTTCTAGGTTATCACTTACTAGAAAGTTATAACAAAAAGTAAAAGCAACTAATGCTCCTTTCAGTAGGAAAAAAAAAAACTGTACTATTAAGACTAAGACTAAAGGAATTTCAATAATGATAACAATTATGGAAAATTGATGAGGCAGGGAAAAAGAACTGATCCCAGCTGTAAGGTCAGCGGTATAGGAAATGATAAATAGCAAAGAAAGTGAAAATATATGGGTAAATGTAAATGTACTTTGGCTGTATAAAAATAATGTCACAAAGTCATACACACAGAGAAATACAAAATAATCATATGGCATATCCGTTATGAGGGATGAAAATGATAAAAAGGACATTTGCCTTATCATAATTCATTAATCTGGATATGTGTTTTATGTGGCTTTCTGACCTTGTGCTATACTTAACAATAAAGAAGCTAAATAAAAAAGAAGAGGAGGATGAAGTACTCTATATGTTGACAAAAGTCACACCCCAAGATACATTAAGTGAGAAAAAGAAAGTGAGAAATAAGAATATATATTTGTATTTGCTTCTATCTAGAGAAAGAAACATTCAGAAAAGCATGAAAGAAACTAAGAAAACGAGTTACCTGATGAGGGGCAAAGTGCATAGAAAGTAGCCAGAAGAAGGGTGGGCTCCAGAATTCTCAATGTATTATTTTTAATATTTTCATTTTTAAACAATGTAAATGTATTATCTGTTTTAGAAATTATACACTAAGACATCATAGGCTAGTAGAGTAGGAAAAACACAAGATGGCTGGGAGAGTATGTGATCAAGAGTGCTAAAGCCTCTATAGGAATAGGAACTAAGAATTATGACAGGTCTGAGATTTTATCCTACCGACAAGCTAACAATTTAGCCTGCCATAGTTTCATGAATGCTGTCAGAATACGTAAGACTTCTGGGTCAGAGACAAAGGACTTTATTACTCATGGCACAGCAGATAGCATGAGCTTTATATTCACATAGGATTCCTGTGCTCCCAAATCCCAGAAGGAAAATGTGGAATGGCCCAATTAGATGCTATACACACAGTGGGTTTGCATCACAGCTAAGGAGCCCCAAGCTTAGAAACTCCCGTCCTTTATAATGGACTGCAAGCAAATGTGCCCAACCTTTGCCTGGGAGGAAGACATTATTGTTATTATACTAGACAGATAAATCTGACCTCTGCTTTAGAAAGAGACCTTGTATCTTTTAAGACTGTTCACTATACAAATATCCTTGAAAAGAAAATTCAAAACAAAGCTGTCAGTGTCTAAGTAGAAATGCTAGAGA